AACTGAAGAACTTACATGCATATATGCATAACCAATGGACAGAGACAACAGTGTGGGGAAGGCAGGAGGTGGCAGGAGCAGGGAGGAGGGTGTTACTGGGGAAACAAGGAGGGACATCTGTAATACTTTCAACAATAAAAATAAATTTTAAAAAAGTAAATATAATAATAGGTGTGAGTGGGCGCTGTAAATTACAAAATACTTCATGATGTGAAAAGAGAGACTGGTTTCCTTAAGACACAAGCCAAGAGGGAGATGGACACACATGGTTAGGAAATCAGTAATGTCCATCTTCATTCACCCCACCATACACACTGGACACCAACCACTTGGAGACACTGCACAGGACACTGGAGCCCTTGGACAGGCTGCCTGAACAGCTGGGTCAGAAAAATAACATTACTGCTAATTTTCACAGACCAAGCTCTAGGTGCTCCCTGATTTCCAACAGGGCAGGGACTCTAGTCACCCACTTGCTAAGCTCAGAAAAGTGAAGTGACTTGGCCAAGGTTCCACTTGCTTCTTGGGGTGGTGGCTGAGAAACTGACTCAGGACACCTACACAATCAAGTTTTCCTTACTCCTCTTCTCCCTGAGTACTAAAACATCTGCCAGCAACTGGAGGGGGAGGAAGGGAAGCAGAATCAGGCAAACACCTCCAAAGTGAAAGGAGGGGCAAGCAGGCAGGGAGAAGGCAGCCTCAGCCTTCTTCCCAACCCAACCTGCCCCCAAAACCCAACCTGTCCACTACAGCACAGCCTCCCCACCTTCCCCCAAGCCACTATCTCCTGGCTCCACTTTGATCAAGATCAAACTGCACCATCCAATATAGCAGCCAGCAGACACCTGTAGCTTACTTAAATTTTAATTAATTAAAATTAAATACATGCCCACCCTGACCAGTTTGGCTCAGCAGTTAGAGCATCGGCCTGCGGTCCAGAGAGACCCGGGTTCAGTTCCCGCTAAGGGCACGTACCTCGGTTGCAGTTTGTCCCCAGCCCTGGTTGTGAGTGGCAACCACTCGATGTGTCCCTTTCACGTCAATGTTTCTCTCTCTCTCCCTCCCTCCCACTCTATCTGAACAAAATATCGAAAAAATGTCCTCGGGTGAGGATAAAAAAAAAAATTTTAATATATGCCTGGCCAGTGTGGCTCAGTGGTTGAGCATCAACCCGTGCACCAAGAGGTTACCGGTTTGATTCCGTCAGGGCACTTGCCAAGTTTGTGGGCCTGATCCCCAGTCAGAGTCTTGTAGGAGGCGGCCAATCCATGTTCCCTCTCATCAATGTTTCTCTCTCTCTCTCCCTCTCCCTTCCTGTCTAAAAGAAATCAATAAAGAAAAAAAATTTTTTAATAAAAAAAATAAAATGAAATACAGATGCTCCTTGACTTACAATAGGGTTATGTACCAATAAACCCATCGTAAGTTGAAAATAATCATAAACTGAAAATGTATTTAAAACACCTAACCTACCAGCCTGGCCCGTGTGGCTCAGTTGGTTGGGCATCGTCCCATGTACCGTAAGGTTGTTGATTCGATTACTGGCCAGGGCACATGCCCACGTTTCTGGTTTGATCTGCTCCATCCCTGGTAGCGGGTGTGCAGGAGGCAGCCAATCAATGTTTTGCTCTCACATAAATGTTTCTCTCTCTTTCCCTCTCCCTTCCTCTCAATAAACTATTTTTTAAAAGTAGAAATAGAGCCCTGGCTGGTTTGGCTGAGCAATTAGAGTGTCGGCCCGTGGATCAAAGGGTCATAGGTTCGATTCTGGTCAAGAGCACGTACCTTGGTTGCAGTTTGGTCCCTGGGCCTGGTCACGGTCGTGCGGGAGGCAACCGATTGATGTGTCTCTCTTACATTGATGTTTCTTTCTCTCTCTCTATCTCTCCTTCCCACTCTGTTTGAAAATAAATTGAAAAATATCCTCCGGTAAGGATTAAAAAAAAGAATAAAAGTAGAAATAGAAAAAATAGATATTAAAAAAAAACCCAACCCTAACCTATTGAACATCATAGCCTACCTTAAATGTGCTCAGGACACTTACATCAGCCTACAGCTGGGCATTATCTTGCGTTTCATCTTAAGAGTAACTGCCTTCTTTTTTTTCCTCTCACCAGAAGCAGGAGAAAATAGATGGACCTTTTGTAGACATAATGGGATGTGAAAACACAAAACAATATCCAAAATACGCTGGCCACAGTGTACACTACGGTTGTTTGCCCTCGTGATGGTATGGCCGACTGAGAGCTGTAGCCTCAGGCGGCTGCCCAAGACAACCAGACTATCAAACCACATATTGCTGGTCCAGGAAAAGATCAAAATTCAAAGTAAGGTTTCTAATGAACGTGTATCGCTTTCTCCCCATTGTGAAATCGAAAAACTGTTAAGTCAAACCACTGTAATTTGGAGACCACCTGTAAAGTGAAAAATTCAGTTCCTCAGTGGCAGTACCTATATTGCGAGTACTCAGTAGCCACGTGTGGTTGGTGGCCACTGTACTGAGCCCAGATATAGAACACTTCCATCATCACAAGAAGTTCTATACGACAGCCCTGGTTTAAAATCTTCTTTGACTAAATGCTCCTATTCCTTCCCTCCACTCAAAAAAAAAGGGGGGGGGGGTATCATTTTTAATTTTAGAAAGAATAAGTGGGAGAAATAAAAGTGAGGAAGAAAAACCAAGACTCCAAAAATACATAAATTTTAGATATACATACATAAAAAGCAGGATTCTGAAAGACTTACTCCTCCTTTCCCCCCACCCCTCCCCGCAAAATGAAGGAGGGAAATCAAGTGGGAAGGGCAGTAGGGAGACTGAACCAGAAGCAAGCTGATTTATTCGGTCACAAATGACCTTTCCCTACTCCTGCCCCAGTTCTGCCCACCTCCCGCCCCACTGGCCCAGCCAATAGGCTCCTGGGACTGAGATCAGCTACAGAGGATCTGACTGCTCAAAAAAATAACCGACAGAGACCAACCCCAAGGCAGGGGACTGCCCTACTCTCATCCTGCTCCAGTCACCCGTGCCTTCCTAGGACCCCTCCCCTCTTCTTGGCCCATTCTCTTCACCCTCCTCCCGTTTCTCCCAATTTATAGAGCTTCTTCCCACAACTTCTAGCTTTTCTTCCTTCTGGATTGGGGGGTCAAGGGTCAGGCCCAATCCCACAAACTTTTGACAGATTTCCCTCCAGGACCCTCATCAATCCAGGCCCTCTCAAAGTCACCTTTCTTCTCCTTCCCTTCCCTCCATCCTCACTTTCAAAAGCGGAAACATTCCTATTGCTCTTATCATACGCCAGATCCAGTTCTTAGCATTCTACATACTTAATTTCCACAACAACCCTATGAGGTGCCACTGTTAGCATTTTACAGAGGGGTAAATTAGACCCAGCGAGCTTGTGAACTAACATGATCGAGCTTCAGAACTGAAAGTTCCGCCGACGGAGGAACACACCTGGGTTCAGGCAAGAGAACTTTATTGAGCAGTTACCTGCCGGGCTGGCTCCTAAGGTGGGGTTAGCGCCGGTATCTCTAACAGGCAGGGTTACATAGGGGATTTATGGGTGAGCGGCTAGCAGCCCTTAGAGGGAGAGGACAATGTGATTTGGCTACTTGGGTAGGTATAACCGCAAGGAGACCAAGGGGGCTGGGGGGAGGGGGGGTCTCCGCTCCCAGGGTGATTCAACCTGGATACCTAGGGTAGCGTTCTGTAACATCCTGTTTCTCCGAACTCTTCATATATCAAGGGAGGAGGGAGTTGGAGACGTTGGCTGCAACCCAATCAAGAACAACTACTCTCTGTGGACTTCTTTCCCTCCTCTTCTCTCATGAGTTCAACAAATATCTATTGATCATCTCCCCTGTAGTGTGACCACCACAGACAACGTCCCTGCCCTAGCATTTGACTAGGGGGCACAGGATCAAACGACTTTTTTACGCAATTCATTTTAAAATCAGGATTGGAGCAAAGGAGCAAAGAACTACAGGGCGCTATTTTTAAAAGCCCAAGACGGGAGACATCTCTCTAGTCTCCTCTTTGAAGTGGGGGAAGGGGATCTTAACCCAGAAGAAAGTCCTTCCTCTTAATGAGGCAGTTGTGCTCCCCAATCCCGGTGGCAAAGGTCTAGCCTTCTTCCCAGGTCCCTCCATGCGGCCACCGCTCCCCTGGGGATGGGTGGCAACTCATGAGGAACCCCCTCACTCTCTCCAAGTTGAACCCGCGTCTCTCGAGTCCCCCAAATGAGCTGCTTCACTTTTCCTCTCCTAAGGAAGTGGTAGTTCTTCCTCTGCTCGTCCTCTCCAAGTGGTTCTCCCAACCCTTGTCCCTTCTGTGACAGCCCTTCCTTCACTCTCTGCAGGGACCCCACATTCTCAAGACAGCGGTGACATCCCTATTCCCCCTGGGGAAAACTCCCCGGTGCCTCAGGTACTCACAGATATAGCCAGCCCCCGAGTCCCAAGCCGCCGCAGGAGCAGAAAGCCAGCCTGGCCCAAGCCTCGACTGGATCCCCAGAGCCGCGCCGCACCAACCGACAACGCCATCTTGACTAACAACCCCTTGCTGACCCGCCCCTCTTCTAGGCGAGACTGGGGGCTGCCCCTTCATGGGCCTGACTCAAATGCCGGCACCACCCTAGCAAAGAAAACCCCTGCTACTAGTCCTGAGGTCTCTAGGATACATGTATGAGTGGATAAAACAACTCCGTTTCCCAAAAACGACTCTAATCGCTTCGTCGTAGTTGTTTCTGTAACAGGCAAAGAAGAGGGCAACCTAACCAGAGCCTCAGGGTTTTAAGGCCCGGGGCCTCGGGTAGGACGAGCCCTTGCCAAGGACCCCTCCCTCTTCTCTACTGTCCAATGGATTTTCTGGAATTTAGAGGCGGGAGTGGGCGGAGTCAAATTGTTAGTAAACGCGGAGACACGTGCGGGCCCCCGGTTCTGGCGAACGTGGTTTGGCGCGTGCGCACTGGGTACGCAGCCTGTGCGGCAGCGCGCGCCTCTGTGCGGAAGCGACTGCGAGCGTGGTGACCGACTGGAGGGAGCGATGCAGACTGAGTCCAAGATTCGCGCTGAGTATGGAACAGATTCCGGCCCTCGGGGTCCCGGCTGCAGCCTCCGGCACTTTGCTTGCGAACAGAACTTGCTGTCCCGGCCGGATGGGTCTGCCTCATTCCTGCAAGGTGAGAACTTAACCCAGCTAGATACTGCCGGGGCCACGTTCCTCTAGGTCGTATTTGTTTTAGGGAACGGCTACGGCGTACCATGCGGAGAAGTGCCCACCTCCTCCACACTAGCCGGTAAATGTCCTTCCTGGACTCATACAGAACTTCTTGCCCAGATGAATACTACTGGATACTCTAGATTACATATCTCTCTCGCTCTCTCGACTTGAGGCGAAACGATATCAGGAGACAGGGGCAGATCTTCCTATAAACATGAATAGTCCAGAATAGGGATAATCTCACCAGAGTAAATAACCCCCTTGATTAGATTCCTCCTTTGCCTTATGGGAACACACATATCCTGGGTCCATACACCCCAGACTGAGGCAAAACTGCCTATTTGCATAAATACCCCATAGACTGGCAGATCACCACTACTGGCTTCATTACTCCCTGCTATGGCAGACCTTTCACCTAAGTACATACTTTTAAGATTGAGGGTGATGTTCACACCCTGGGTTGAGAAAGATTTTCCCCATCCCTACCCCACCAGTTGGGTAAATATCCCTTTGACTGGGATGCAGCTCTCTCTGTAAGATTGGGGTAGATCTTACCTGTTGGGTAAATATTCTCTTCTTCTAGCTAAATACATTTCAAACTCCCTGACCCAGGTAAATATTCTTCTGGAGGTAGACCTAAGGATCACCCCTATGGATGCTTTAGCCCCCTCCTTAAAGCACTACTTTCTTCCCAGTTACAAACCTGTTTTCATTCATCGAATAGGTATGTATTTGTACTAAGGACTGGTCTAGGCATTGAGACTACAACAATAATTGTTTTTCTTAAATGCCTGACCTTGCCCTGGCTGGTGTGGCTCAGTTGGTTGAGCATCATCCTGTGCACTGAGGGGTTGCCAGTTTGATTACTTGTTAGGGCACATGCCCAGTTGCAGGCATTCCCTAGTGGGGGGCGTGCAGGTGGCAGCTGATTGATGTTTCCCTCTTACATCAGTGTTCTCTCTCTCTAAAGTAATGAAGAATCTTTAAAAAAAAAAAATCCTGACCTAATGGAATTCTTGACCTAATTACACTCTAATCAAGAATGTGGACAGTAAATAAGATAACTAAGTAAAATGCTACAGAGAAAATATAGTAGGGAAGCAGAATAGGGTGTGTCAGAGAGGGTTACAATCTTTTTTTTTTTTTTTAATTATCACCTGATAATATGTTTGGTTTTGTGTTTTTTTGTGTCGTTGATTCCAAAGAGAAAGGAAGGGAGAGAGAGAGAGAGAGAGATCAGTGTGAGACAAAAACATCCATCAGTTGCCTCCCATACATGCCCCAAATGGGGATCAAACCTGTAACCTGGGTATGTGACCTGACTGGGAATCAAACCTAGGACCCTTCTGTACACAGGATGATGCTCCAACCACTGAGACACACTGGCCAGGTCAAGGGTTGCAATTTTAAATAGGATGGTCGGGAAAGGTGTCAATGAGATGATAACAGTTGGATAAAAACCTAAAGGTAAGGTAGAACATACTGAAACTATCAGGGGGGAAGGTGTACCAAGCATGGGGAACAGCGGGTGCAAAGGCCCTGCAGCAAGAACTTGCTTGGTATCCTTGAGGAGGTCAGGAGACCAGTATGGCTGGAGCAGTGAGAGGTTTTAAAGAGAGGTAAGGAGGCTTGCCCATCGTATAAGGCCTAGTAAATGAGATGGGAGCCATTGGAAGTTTTGCTCAGAGGTGTGACATGACCTGAATATGTTTAACAGACTCTCTCTGTCTTCAGTGTTGCCTGTAAAGGGTATGGGGGGCATGGGGAGATGATGGTGGCTGAGACCAGAGTGGAAACAATGGAGGTGGTGAAATTCTAGGTGTAATTTGAAGGTAAAACTGACACAGTTTGCAGATGGTTTGGTTTTGGAGAATGAGAAGAAAGGGACAGTGTGAAGGTTTTCTCCCAGATAAGCTGTGCGGGGGGGGAGATGAGGCATTCGGTTGGAATATGAAGTTTATGGTGCCTAGTAGATATCACAGTGGCAAGATAGACTGGGCAAGTTGGACATACGAACCTGGAATTCAGAAGTGAGACCCAATATGGACATATAATTTGAAATCCTCTGGCTATAGATAGTATTTTGAGCTCTTGACTGGATGAAATCGCCAACAAAATGAATGTAGATGGGAAAGAAAAGAGGTCCCAGGACTAAGCCCTGAGTCTTCTCCCTTGAGAGGAGCTAGCAAAAAAGACACTGAGAAGGAGCCAGTAAGGGAAGAGGAAAACCGGGAGAGGGCAGTGACCTGCAGCCCAGAGAACATGTTTGAGAGGTGAGGGCCAAGGAGTTGGAAGATGGCAGCGGAATAGGTGAAAGCAACACACACCTCCTCCCAGCGCTGAACCAGAGTTACAGTTAAAATTTAGAGCAATTAACCTGAATTAACAACAGAAGGACCCCTGGAGTATTATATCCAAGGATTGAAAAAAAGAAGCTACACAGAGACTGATACGAAGGATGGAGATGCAGAAAGGGCTGGCCCCTGCACCCAGGGGCAGCTGCTGTGAAGCCGGAGATTTATTGCAGCTGCAAAAGGCGCCCCCAGAGAAAAGTGGGGTTCTACTCCAGGACCCCAACCCAGAACACCAGGGCCTGGAAGAGCCTGCATAACGTTTTAACAGCAGAAATAAGCAGGGACTTTGTCCACTGGAAAGAGGAGGGAGTCTGTTTGAATCCCAGGCGATCTCCTTAAAGGCTAATGCGAAGGAACTCACTCTTGGGCATTCACCCAGGGCTCTGGTAGACAGAAGGAGACACAGGGCTTATGAAAGCCATAAGAAGATGTGGGTGGTATAGCACCGGAGATCAGGAAGGCAGGCTTCTGAGGTCCCAGTCCTGTGCCAACATCCCACACTGTCCTCAGATGCCATCTCCCAGGGTCCAGCACTTCTTTTTTGTTGTTGTTTTTAATCCTTACCCGAGGGTATTTTTCCATTGATTTTTAGAGAGAGTATAAGTAAGGGAGGGAAGGAGGGAGGGAGAGAGACAGACATTAATGTGAGAGAGACACATCAATCACTTGCCTCCCACATGACCCTGACCAGGGCCGGGGAGTGAACCCGCAACCCAGGACATGCCCCTGACTGGAAATCAAATCTGCAACCCTGTGACCCTTTGGTCCACGGCCAACGCTCCAACCGCTGAGCCAAGCTGGCCAGGACAGCACTTCTATTCTTTTTTGTTTTTTTAATATGGTTTTTAAAATTTTTTAGAGAGAGAGAGGTAGAAACATCAGTTGGCTGCCTTCTGCACTGGGGATCAAGCCCACAACCTGGGCATGTGCCCTGACTGGAAATCGAACCGGGACCTCTCAGTCCATGGAACTATACTACAAAGCCATTGTAATCAAAACAGCTTGGTACTGGCACAAGGACAGGCATATAGATCAATGGAACAGAACAGAGACCCCCCCCCCCCAAATTAACCCACACTATTATGGTCAATTAATATTTGACAAAGGGGTAATAGCATACAATGGAGTAAAGACAGTTTATTCAATAAATAGTGCTGGAAAATTGGACAGGTACATGCAAGAAAATGAAACTAGACCACCAACTTACACCATACTCAAGAATAAACTCAGAATGAATAAAAGACTTAAATGTAAGTTGTGAAACCATAAAAATCCTAGAAGAAAACATAGGCAGTAAAATCTCAGACATTTTTTTTATCCTCACCCGAGAACATTTTTGCATTTATTTTCAGATAGAGCAGGAGGGTGAGAGGGAGGAAGAGAGAGAGAGAAACATTGATATGAGAGAGACACATCGAGTGATTGCCACCCACACGACCCCAACAGGGGCCAGGGACAAACTGCAACCGAGGTACGTACATACCCTTAGCGGGAACCGAACCTGAGACTCTCTGGTCCACGGGCCAACGCTCTAACCGCTGAGCCAAACTGGCCAGGGCAAATCTCAGACATCTAAAGTAGAAGAATTTTCGCCGATACATCTCCAAGGGTAAGAGAAACAAAGGAAAAAATAAATGAATGGGACTATCTCAAACTAATAAGTTTCTGCACGGCAAAAGAAACGATCCTCAAAATGCAAAGGGAACCCACCATATGGGAGAACATATTTACTATGATACCTCTGATAAGGGGTTAATTTCCAAAATAGACAAAGAACTCTTACAACTTAACAAGAGGAAGAGAAACAATCCAATTAAAAAATGGGCAGAGCACCTGAATAGACAGTTCTCCATAGAAGACATACAGATGGCCAATAGACATATGAAAAGATGCTCAACATCACTAATCATCAGAGAGATGCAAATTAAACCACAGTGTAGTATCACCTCACACCTGTCAGAATGGCTGCCATCAACAAACAGGTGCTGGTGAGGGTGTGGAGAAAAGGGGACTCTAGTACACTGCTGGTGGGAATGCAGACTGGTGCAGCCACTATGGAAAACAGTATTGAGGTCCCTCAAAAAATTAAAAATGGAACTGCCATTTGACCCAATGATCCCACTTCTAGGAATATATCCTAAGAATTCCAAAACACCAATCAGGAAGAATGTGTGTGCCCCTACGTTCATAGCAGTATTTACAATAGCCAAGATCTAGAAACAGCCCAAGTTCCCATCAGTAATGAGTGGATTAAAATGCTGTAGTACATTTACACAATGGAACACTATTCAGCTGTAAAAAGGAACGCGCTCTTACTTTTGAGACAGCATGGAGGGACATGGAGATTATTATGCTAAGTGAAATAAGCCAATCTGAGAAGACAAATGTCCCATGATCTCACTTACATGTAGAATCATGAACAGAATAAACTGATGAACAAAATAGGACCACAGACATGGAAGCATGAATCAGTCTGAATAGTCTCAGAGGGAAGGTAGGAAGAAGGGCGGGAAGAGATTAATGAAAAAACTTATATGTCTGTGTGCATAGCCCATGGACACAGACAATAGACAGGTGAAGGCCTGGGGTGGAGTGGGAGATGGGTGGAGCGCAGCAAAGGGGGGGAAATGGGGGACATCTGTAATACTCGGCAATAAAATTTTAAAAAGAAAATAAAAAGTATGAGGGCCGACCAGCTGCCTCAGTCCTGAGAGGTTGCATCACATGAGGGTGAATAGAACTATGGGTTGACAATTTAGACATGTCATTGGTGATGCTGTCAAGAGCCACTCCAGTGAGTGGTGGGGTCAAGGAGGAAAAGGAGACGGTGAGTGGAGACAGCTCTTAGGGATCAGATCCGTGGGGCAGGAGTTGAAGATGGATGTGGGTCCAGAGAGGGCAGCATTGCTCCAGGGACCTGTTGGGGCTGTGTATTGGAGAAGGTGAGAGCAGAGGGACTCGGGTACCACAGACAGCTCCTCTGGGGTAACAGGAATGAAGACCCCAGCGCAGAGCTAACTCTTCTGGGTAACCTCCCACCTCGGGGCAGATTCTCTTAGAGCACAGAGAAGCCCTCAGTTGTGCAGCAGTCCCTCCTCCAGCCCAGGAAAAACAGCCCCAGCTGAGGACCTTCTCAGGCCCGCCCGCAGGCTTAGCCCTCTGGCTAAATTCAGATGCCTTGAGTCTTAGAACTTAGCAGTACGGGGAAGAGTAGCCTCTTCGGTGTTCTAAAACCCCAAAGCCCCAGGACCCGGGCACAAGGTCCTTGAAGACCCTTACAAGTATGTTCCAGGTGCTTCTGGCCTCAGAGTCTCAGGTCAGCTTAAAATGCAGAACCCAGAAGCCGCCCACGCCTGCTAAGGCTGGCCCTCTGCCTTCTGCCGGAAGTGCTGCGGTGGCTCCGATTGCAGAGCTGTGTTTGGAAGCCCTGCTCGACCTCGTTTCTTCACACTGAGGTCTCAGGTTCCCCTCCCTCCCACACATCAGAACGGCCTGTGGAGCGCTGAGCCCCACCCCGAGCAGCTGAATTCCATTCTCTGGCAGAGGGCCTGGGCATCAGCATCTTCTTTTTTTTTTTCTTTATTGATTTTGGAGAGAGAGGAAGGGAGAGGGAGATAGACACATCGATGAGAGAGAACACTGATTGGCCGCCTCCTGCATGCCCCCCACCCCCCCGGGAATCGGGCCCACAACCTGGGCATGTGCCCTGACCAGGAATCGAACCGGAGACCTCTTGGTGCACGAGTCGACGCTCAACCAGTGAGCCACACCAGCCAGGCAGATCCGCATCTAAAGCTGTGGGGTGATTTTAGCGTGCGATCAGGGTTGACAAGCGTCTGTTTTCACTGGAATCGAGTAGGAAAATACCAGTATGTCAGAGCAGTAACGATGAGGTGTTTTGTGACGCCTTTGTTCCATTTACACTCACATAGCTCTGTGGGCATCTTGAGTCCTGCTGTAAAATGTATTTCTTGGGAGCTATGGTCAGGAAAGTTTGGAAACCGCTGCTGCAGCCAGTCTCTCCATTTTGCAGATGGTACAACTGAGGTCTAGAGAAGCGAGCAAAATCAGCCAAGGGTGCAGAGCCAGGAGGAGGCAGACAGAATTAGAAGCTAGGCTTTTTACTTCTCAGGTCTGGTCTCCTCATCTCTGGTATTTACCCACTCTAGGAAGTAAGCAGGAGTCAGGACCCACACCCGGAGATTTCTTTCTTTCCCGGGTATCCTGACTGCTGCAGAGTTTAGGGACAAGAGCCTGAGCGAGGGAAGAGAGGGGCTGGGGAAGCTCTGGGAGAAGTCGAGGCCAACTGCAGTAAGAGGGAGGATGGTTAGCTCTTGGGAAGAACTTCCTGTTAAAGTTAGTAACATTAGCTAAAGTGTTTTGTACTCAGCATGTACCAGGCAGTGTCATGGATTATCTCATTTAATCCTCATGATGCTGTGAGGTAGGTAACTGTTATTGTCCCCATTTTACAGATGAGGAAGTGGAGGGAGAGACTAAAGGGAATGCTCAAAGAATCACTGCCAACAAATGGTGGGCCAGAGTGACTGGGGAGCAGGGGGAACCCTGGCCATCTGGCTCTGCGCCCACACTAAGTATCTCGAATTGGGCCCCAGAGGCAGGGCACCTATGGGTGAGGCTCCATGCTCTCTCCGCAGGGGATACCTCCGTCCTGGCAGGCGTGTACGGGCCGGCCGAGGTGAAGGTCAGCAAAGAGATCTTCAACAAGGCCACACTGGAAGTGATCCTGAGGCCGAAGATCGGGCTGCCTGGTAACGGGTCTCCAGATGTCCGTTCTGTGGGGACTCCCGCCTGGCTCCTCCCTCACTGCTGTCCCCAGTCTCCTCTGTCCCTTCGTTGCCCCTCAGCTATGTCTGTCTCTTTCTCCAGCTCTGCCTCTGAGTCTCCGTGTTTGTGTTACTTTTCTCTTTGTCTCTCTCTCTGTCTCTTGGAGTCTTCCCTTCCCCTCCTCTTTCTGGCTCCATGTCCCCTTCTTTCCATTAACTTGTTTTTCTACCTATTACCTCCTGTCTCCCTCACTTCTGGGACTGGGCCCACTGAGATGGGCCTGGGCAGCAGCACAGGACACGGGAACTCGGGTTTTCCTCCCTCAGGAGGCTCCCTTGCTAGATGCTGAAGGTGGCAGGGGTGGGGTGGGGTGGGTGGCAGCCAGGCCCTGCCTCCTGCCCACTTGGAATCCTGTGTCATCGAGGCAGGGTTCTGCACTGACCCAGGCTGAGTCTGCAGGTCCTTCCCAGAGGCCTGGGTGGGCCATATGGAGGAAGAGAAGAACCTGACCCCTCCCACCCCTGACTTCCCCAGGTGTAGCTGAGAAGAGCCGGGAGCGGCTGATCAGGAACACGTGCGAAGCAGTGGTGTTAGGGGCGCTGCACCCCCGCACCTCCATCACCATCGTGCTGCAGGTCATCAGCGATGCTGGCTCTGTATCCTTTCCCTCAAGCTGCCTCCTCCAGGAAGTCCTCCAGAATCCCCTAATTGCCTCCCTTGCTGATGGCCATGTAGGTGCCCTCCGCTAGCCAGAAGACCTCCAAACACTTGACAGGCACCAACTTGTTGAAAAAGAATAGCAAACAACTTGCGCGCTTACTGTGTGTCACTATTCTAAGTGCTTTACACGTGTTAACTCATTTAGTCCGCACAGCAGAGTTACCTCGCATGAGCAGTAATTGGCAGAGCCAGAACTTGAACCCAAGCCATCTGGTTCCATAGCCTAAGGTCCCTGGCAGATGGAGGTTCTTATGTTCCCAAGTTTCAGGTGAGGAAACAGGCCCAGAGAGGGGAAGTCATTTGTCCAAGGTCACACAGCTGAAGGCAGCAAAGACAAAACTCAGGCCCACCCCTGATTCCAAAGCCTGAGCTACTGACCTCTATTTGGCCTGAGCTTATATTTAAGGTTCGTGCTGGGGGAGCCCTGAGCAAGCCGAGTAGTTGGGCCCACGGCTCATGCTTGAAATATCCCTATGGTCTGGGCGACAGGTTGAGGCTGAGGACCAGAAACAGGCATTTCTAGGAATCACTGGTGCAGGCATTTCATAGGCGGGAGGAGGAAAGGGCTGTCGTAACCCCATTTCCCAGAGGGGGAAGCTAAACCTCAGACAAAGGTAATAGAGGGTCAGTGGCAGAGGTGGGACGGTTGATTCTAAAGCTGGGCCCTTGCTCGCTGTGCTGGACCAGTGGAGCAGACTGGGGGCCAGTGTCTGACTCCGCCCTGTGCCTGCTTTGTACCTGCCACGGCCACACCCCACCCTGGAAGGTGGGCTCCCTGAGGGCAGTAATGACCCCTCCCTCCATCTCTCTGCCAGTACCTCCCATGTGATCTGGAAGGTTTCTCCCCCTCTCTGCACTCAGTTTCCCTACAGGTGCTTGGCACCTGCCATTACATATCTGTTGAATACCATGATCCCTGATGGAGGCGCAGAGAAAGTGAGTCGCTTGAGGACACAGTGAACCCAAGATTACTTGATCCCAGAACCACTTAGAACTCTGCCATGCTGCCTTCCTGCGCTGTTAGTGATGCTGCCACAGCACTGGCCGGGATGGCGGGGCATCGAGGGTTGGGGCACACTCTGCTGGCCAGCCCTGCAGTAGAAACTTTAACCACTCCCTGCGGCACTCAGCTCCTGGCCTGTTGCCTGAATGCCGCCTGCATGGCATTGGTAGATGCAGGTGTGCCCATGCGGGCCCTCTTCTGTGGGATCACCTGTGTCCTGGACTCAGATGGGACCCTCGTGCTGGACCCCACAGCCAAGCAAGAAAAGGTGGGTGTGAAGGGCCATGGGCAGACACTGCCCCTCTCCTCCTCTAGGCCGAGCTTCTCCACACCTATTGGCTTGTACCAGCTCAGTCCCAACTGGCAATCTCTGCTGTGCTCCGCAGGGCGAGCGCGAGAAACCCAAGTCAGACTGCTGGAGCAGAAGGAATGTATTGACCTTCAGTGCCAAGCTCAGAATGGAGGTCAAGCCAGGGCCAGGGCCTCAAACACCATCAGGATGTCCTTGCTTCTTTTCTTAGTCCTGCTCCTTTCTGCACAGCAGCTCCATTCTTTCTGGCCAGCATCTCTCCTGAGGCTGCGACTGGCCCCTTAAGCTCTGTGCTTACATCTTAAGAGGCTCAGAGGCAAAGGAGGAGAGCCTTCTGCCTCGGCTCAAGTTCACAGTGTCCTAGGGCTGTGGTTACTCTGAGTTAATTTGCCCAGTCACATCCAGTCAGGAAAGCAGAAACCACCCGGGGGAGTTCCCATGGAAAGTTCGTGCAGGGAACTGGGAACAACAGTGTTGGAAGAGCTAAGGAGCAGAAAGGAAGAAGGGGGGTCACCCAGAGATCAGGAGCCCATAGCCAGCTCCCACCTGTGCTGTTGGCGGCATTGCCACAGCCAGTTCCGGGTGCAGGCTCCAGAACCCACCGCACCCCACAGCCTCTGTGGCCGCTGCCACGACCACAGCACCTTCCACTGTCGGAGTGAGGGCACAGAGAAGCTAGGAGGCCCCAGGTTAAACGACGTGTGCTGTGGCTCCCTCTACAGGGCAGGGATATGCTTGGAAGCCCGTCAGAACCCTGTGGGTGGAACCAGGTGTAGAATCCAGAGGAAAGGCGAGGGAAGCTGGGGGCTGGTAGTGCAGACACAGCTACACTCCGCGCAGGAGGGCCTGGCTGCGGGACAGGCGAGTCCCGTTGGGATCAGCCAAGATCGTGTCAGAGGGGAGAGTTCGGGTCCCTCACCTTCTGTCCCTCATCCCTAGGAGGCCCGGGCAGTCCTGACCTTTGCGCTTGACAGCGTGGACCAGAAGCTGCTCATGTCCACCACCAAGGGGCTCTACTCCGATGCTGAGGTACCAGTATGCGGGTGCGGGTGAACCCCAGATCCTTTGTGATGTGTCGTCCCAACTCTGCTCTGCACTCAGGTTCAGGGAGAGCCCCCCTTCGCATCCCTTCTGTAAACAGGAGTTTGTGCACTTTGTAGCCATAGAAACCTCGGTGGAAATTTTAAAAGGGAAGACCCAGTTAATGAGCTAAGAAAAAAGAGGAGCTCAGGTTGAAATCAGGAGGTGGAGGTGCCCCCAGCTTCCAGCTCAGAGCAGGGTCCCCCTCCCCCATTCCAAGTCTGAAGGGTTTGGAAACTGTTAGGCCAGATAGCCTCCAAGAGCATTTCCCATCTGGACCTCCTGAGAGTCTAGGAATATGTGCACATCTGGGCTCTTGGATTCCTGGCACTTAACGTTGTTTGGAGTCCCGGGGCCTGTGGCTCTGAAGTTCTGGGGTCTCTCGGGCTCCGTGAGCTGTTTCCAGAGCTCCGGTCTCGTCGAGCTGTCAGGATGCCCGGTCCCGTTGGTGCCAGGCCCCGGAGCTGCCGGAAGCTAGCCCCCGAATCCCTCACCTTCGCTTTCCCCCTCCTCCCCTCTAAGAGACCCTGAAGTGGAGAAGGGGGTGCGCTTGGAATAATCCCCTTCTCACCTGTCTCACCTGGGGGACCGGGGTGGGGGCAGGAGGTGGTAGATTTGGAGGCCCTAGAAGTAAGGTGGGCCAGCCAGGCCTTGTGAGGGTGCGGGGATGGGCCCCGCACTGACCAGTCTCTCCCCGCGCAGCTCCAGCAGTGCCTGGCCGCAGCCCAGGCTGCCTCGCAACACGTCTTCCACTTCTACCGGGAATCGCTGCAGAGGCGGTACTCCAAGAGCTGAGGGGCTGGGGGACGCCCCCCTGCTGCCACCACCCGCTACCGCGGTGCGAAATAAACCAGCGGCCCAGCCTGGCCTCTCTGTCCTTGTGTGCCCAGGGAGCTGCAGGACCCCTGACCTGACCACCTGAGAGCCTGGACTGCGGGCCTTGGGTTGGGGGGCACAGACACCCCACGCCCACTGGGAAAACACTTCTAGGATTGCACATTTATTGAATGAATTCATTTAGTCTAACATATCTGTTGAGCACCCACTTGTGCAGGCCCTGAGAGGTGCTGAGGACCCAGCAGTGAACAAGAAACCCAGGTCCCAGGTTCAAGGAGCAGTGGGGTGATGGGCAAATAAAACTGGTGTTTGTCAGATGATGGTAAATGCTGTGACCAAAAAAAAAGCAGGAAAGGGAGGTTGGGGCAGGTTTGTTTGGGGAAGGCAAATGTAATACATCAGTTAGGGACACCTTCGCAGAGAGGGGGACATCTGAGGGAAGCAGGAGGAGACCAGGCAGTGAGGTCACGGACAGGCCGGGGGACGAGCCCCAGAAGGAGACCTGCGGAGGGGGAGGACCAGCGAGGCAGCAGTGTGGCTGAGCTGAGCGCGGGAGGGCAGGAGAAAGATGGCCCAGGAGAGAAGGTGGGCTCGGAGCGGGACCTGTCTCAGCCCAACAACCCAGTGAGGTGGGGCTGTTACCGCCCACATTTCAAAATAAAGAAACAAGCTCAGAAGCCAGTTAGTGCCAGAGGTCCCCAGCTGGTCAGCAGTGGAGCCTGGGCCGCACTCAGCCCAGCCCCAGGCCCACGCTCTGGACCGCCGTCCCCATCTGTGCATGGAAGTGACAGGCCCGATGGTTACCAGGGCTGGTAGCGCCCCCTAGGGGGCATTTGGAAATACAAGGGGACTTTTTCAGTTGCCATTGACTGCTCCCCTGCCCTTTTATTTAGTGGGCAGGAGCCAAGAATGTGTGAGCATCAACCAAGGAATAACTTCCACAACTGGGCCACATGGTCGCCGGATCCCGTCAGCTGCCGGTGTTTGGGGGTTTGTGATGGGCCCTGTGCTGCGTGCCTCACGTGCCCGAACCAGCTCACAGTTCCACAGCTGCCCCTTTGGGTGGTATCGCTTTCAGCCCAGGAACGGGGGAAATGCATAAATAGATTTCGCTTGCAATTACGCTCCACGAACTGCTCAGCAGAATGCCAAATGGGGAAGTGTTCCGGGAAGACCCACTGGGACGACATTAAGCAGAGCGAGAAAACCAAATTGTTACTCCATTACTTGGTAATATCAAGACCCATTTAGTGACAAGTCTTTGCTCATGGCAGACACTCCGTTTTGCCTGCTAGAAGCCAGCACTTTGCTATTACCTTAAGGCATCATTTCCCACCCCCACGACCAATGTCAGGCTGTGTGATCCAGCTGGGGCTGCTTCTGAAAGGGCCTCTGGGAAAGAGGACCAAGAGGATGGAGTGACCAGACCATTTCATTTGAGCCCCTGAATCCTGCTCTGCCTCATCTTCCCCCATTTTTGAGTATAAGACGATCTGAATTGAGTTTCTGCCACTTGCTGTCGAAAGACCTAGAGGGAAACTTCCTTTTACACGTGTGACCCATTTCCCAGGTGGGGAAAAATGAGTCCGATTTTGCAAATGAGAAAAAGTGAGGCTCAAAGAGGAGTCACTTGGGCCAAGGACACGCAGCTAATGTGTCAAGGAGTAAGTCCTTGGCACCTAGCCCTGATTTCTCTGCTGACCGCCCTCAGTTGTAAAGAGAACATTCTGCAACTTGGAAACCCTCTGCCCCTGGAGTCCCCCTTCAGTTCTGAGGTATCCAGGAGCGCCTTGGGGACAGCCTGTCAGGCGCCCCCAGCCCACCTCCCCCCACACACAGACTGACAGGTTTGACTACAAGAGTGTCTGGTGTTTAATCTCACACTATGGCGGCCAGGAAGGGGAGGGGTTTCCAGCTTGGTCCCATTGCTAGAGGCTCACACTGCCACATCCACCCGGAGTCTCCACTCTGCCCGTGTACACTCTGGGCCACTGGCCTCTGGTGCACAGTGGGGACCGAAGGGGCAGCTAGAGTGGGTCTGGGGAGGTGAGGTAAGCAGCGAGGCACTGGGGCTGCTGCGTATGTGCACACGCCCTGCCCGGTGGCCAGGACTCCCAGCAGGAAGGCATGGTGGGTGGCAGCCCTGCCTCCTGGACGTCCCCCTTGGCCCAAGCCTTACTGGTCTGGAGGTGTTGGGCATCGATGACTCAGGCACCCCCTCTGCCCTCCCTGCTTCCTGAAGCCCAGCCCCTTCCCCACGGGACATGCCCATGCGTTCATTCGTCTGTATTCTAAAACCAGGCAGCATCACTGGGTCAGGCACAGCTGGACACTGGGGGTACTTTATGACAAATAAAATATACATAAATTGGTGTGTGCTGCTGTTCTAACTCGTTGGATCCTCACAATGACCCTGAAGCAGGAATCATTCCAGTTTCACAGCCGAGGGAAATGAGACACAGGTAAGTTAGTGGCCTGCTCACAGGGAGTGGCAGACCTCAGATTTAAGTTCAGGTTTTTAACCACCACTTGGCAGCCCTCTGTGAAATGCCTCATTTCACCCCTGAACGGTTCCATGTGACTCCTCTCCATCTCCCCCCTCCCCTCCAGGCATAGCTGCTCTGTTTTGTTTCCTTATATTTTGAATGCATTTTTCTCCTTCATGCTCAATCCCCTCCCACCCCCCACACACAGACTGACCTGGGCCAGGCAGAAGGCAGCGACACCCACAGGCCAGAAATAGCGCTGTGGAGGACGGCCAAGCCGAGGTGGTCGTGGGATAGGAAGTGGTCATGGGATAGGAGCGGGGAGAGAAAGCTGCCCTCATTCCAGTCGGAGAGTCACTGTCACTTGATGATGCATCCCGCAGGCAGGAGAGGGCTTGTGTGGGTGTCTCCACCCATCTTCCCTGCTCCCCATTGCCCTCAAAGACCGATACCAGGGCCTGCCCAGGAACACCAAGATTAGAAAAAATGTTCCAGAAGACAGGCTCTTGCCTTTTCTGTACCCTGGATCCCTTTGAGGGGAAGCTGCGGACCCTGTCTCCAGAGAAGAGTCCCACCCACAAACAAGGCTCTGAGTTCAAGTTCAAGGAGTTCACAGCTCCAATGCTAGATACAACTGTGTACACTCTCTGAGTTAAACAGCCCTGAAGTGGAGCCCACTCTGGTGGCTTAGATTACTCAGACAAACCTGCCTCCTGGAACTATTGATTCTAGATTATTAAAAAATATTTTTTTAATCTTGCATCTAACAACTCATAAGAATAAGGAGTCACGGTAAGGCCAGAAGTGAAATGAAAATGAAAGTTAACTGAGAGGTCAAATGAACAGAGAAGACCTCTTCTGCTCTTTCTGGGAAGGCATCTGTCAATCCCAGAAAAACTAACCTTTCAATCAAACCTTGAACTAGATTTAAAATGATCTTTAACTGCTAATGCCCCAAGCAGCTTACAGAGAAGCAAACTAAAATCTCTCTGGAGAAAGAGGTACCTTCATTCTAGGCCTAAAAATAATTTTTCAAATATGATGGCCAGCATGCAGTCAAAGATAATCAGGCACATAAGGAACCATGAATGAGAATGAGCAAGAAAAAAAGACCTTTGCCCTGGCCAGTTTGGCTCAGCGGTTAGAGCGTCCGCCTGCAGTCCGGAGAGACCCGGGTTCGGTTCCCGCTAAGGGCATGTACCTTGGTTGCAGTTTGTCCCTGGCCCTGGTTGGTTGTGCGGGTGGCAACCACTCGATGTGTTCCTTTCACATCGATATTTCCCTCTCTCTCTCTTCCTCTCTCTCCCTCCCACTCTGTCTGTACAAAAAATGGAAAAATGTCCTCGGATGAGGATTAAAAAAAAAAAAAAGACCTTCAAAACCTTCAGACACATACAATGTCAGAGTGACGCCTACTGCTACGACAAAAATGGCCACAGCCATCTCTCCCATCCCACATGTTCTTAAAGTGTGACTGATACTCTTCCCGTCAAGGGAGAGGTCTGTGTCCCCTTTCCTTGAATCTGGACAGGCTGTGACTCGCTCAACTGGTGAATGTAGTGGAAGTCATGCCACCTGATTTCCTAAGTCAGAGAGGTGAGGGAGCTCCTGCTTTGTTGAGACACTCGTGATGGAGACTGGAGGCGCATGGGTCCAACTGCCCTGAAGCCGACGTGCTGGAAGGAAGCCCAAACCAGCCCACATGGGGAGACACATGTAGAAACCCGGAGACTACGTGAAGAGAGATACCAATCAGCCCCTGACTTTTCCAGAGCTGAGCCACTGGCTCAGTGCAACCTCACGAAAAATCCTGAGGCAGAACCACCCAACTGAATCTTTCCCAAAGTCCTGACCCAAAGAAACCATGAGTGATAATAATGATTGCCGTTGTCTTAAGCTACTAAGTTTTGCGGTGATTTCTTATACAGCAACAGTAACCGGGAAACCATGTTTAGGAAATAAAAGACAAGGAACAAGGAATGATAGAAGTGACCATTTTTTAAAGAGGCCAGAGATGCATCAGCTCTGGAGAGAGATGACAGAGAAGGAGCAGGAGAGTCAGAAATCAGAGGGAAGACAGCCAAAGGCTAGGGAACAAAGATGAGAGGAAAAGCTCAAGAATCCAGGGAAAAAGGAGAACAAGAAAAGCACAACTGACATCTAAGAAGCCCACATGCAGCTCAGAGGTGAGATTTCAGGCCAAATGCAGGCACCCCAGCCGCCAGCCCATCAGATATTGATTAGAGCTGGAATCTCCTCCAGCCCCCTCCACCTGCTCCCACTAAGGCCTGCAGCTCCTAGCTCAAGTTCAGGGGGCCCTGGCTGCCCCAGACCAGCGCTCACAGAGGGAAGAGGTGGTGGGAGAAACTGCTAACCCCTTAGGGACTCTGCAAAGGCTTTGTCTCCAAAGTGGGGCCCCAGCTCAGGCTCGCCAAGCTTCTCCACAGGGGGGTTGCAGCCTATACCTGCCCGCAGAGGCTGTTGGAGCTCTTGAAGACTGGGGCTGTCCATGGCTGGGGAGAAGCTCCCGGAGGGGTTGCCTGGGGTAGGGGAAAGATAAAGACAAGTTGTAAAAGTCTCACCTTCGTACTTCCCCTGACCCCTGACTCCAGAGAGACTCCAGGCAGAGTCTAGTTAGTTCAACAACCCTCAGACCCATTTTACAGGTAGTAAAACTGAGGCCCAAAGAGTAAGCCCAAATTGTAAAGAGAATACAGGGAAGGAAGGGGTCTGGACATTCAACTGTGGGACACTTATTCCAAACTATGCCTTACTTGCCCCATAAACTACATCCCCATCTGGGGTTCACATGTTATCCCTCTCTGCACTGACATTTTGCACTTTACTCTCGTTCAGCCTCCTGTGCCCCCTAGCCTGCACACTCTCAATACCCAAGTACCTGGCCACAGGTACCCATTCAGACAAGCCCCACCCCTACCTCCATCTATATGCGTTCATCTCCCCAGGGACTCCTTGCATACTTGCCCCGGGCAATGTCAGCTCCCAGAAAACACCGTCTGGAGCTCCCAAGCTTCTTACACACTCATCCTAAATGGTTCATTGCACACTCCTAAACTCCCCAGCATCAGATCCCCCCATATGCACACAAATGCACAAGCTTCCCACACATGCATCCTAGGACACTCTCCCGTTCCCATCACTTCCCTTGCACATCTGCCCCAAAGACCGGGTCCATACACCCCTCGCCTACTCCACCCACATCGATGACCCCACACAACCCCCTGAGCACCCATCAGCTCCCCAGGCACCTCCTGTTTCACTAGAATCCACCTTGGCACACCTACCCCATAACGCACACACACACACACCCAGCCCCACCACACACTGGTACATACTCAACAAAGAATATTCTCCTCGTCCCACGGGCCCCTTGGGGGTGGGGGGCACCCCCAAGCCTCCTGCCTCACTCCAAACCTGGTTCGAGCCTATTTTCTCACCAAGGATTTGCCTTCCCATCCCCAACGCCAGGACCCCGAGGAGAGGCAGTGCCCGCTACCTGCGCCCCTCATTCACCGCTCACAGCCGATGTCGGGCCTCCGGGTCTCTGCACCGACACACCCCCCGACCCTGCCGCCTGCGTGTGGGGACCTCAGTGAGCCCCACGCTCCCGGGGCCGGAGCCTGGGGGCGCGGGGTCTGCGCGTTCCGCTCAGCTCGGCTCCCCCGACATCAGCCCGCAACGCGCGGGGGCGGGGATGGGGCGGGGCGGCGGCCTCGGGGCTCCTCCCTCCTCCCTCCGCGGCGGCCGGGAAGGGGGCCTTGAAGGCCGCGGTCAGCGCCGGACTCGGGCTCCTGCCTCCCGGAGTGTGCGGCAGCAGGCGGGGGTCGCCAGGACTCGAGCCCTGAGCCCCCGAGCCCAGGTCTAAGCGCTGCCGGGCGGAGAAGGGGGCCCCCCGATCCTCCAGGACCTTACTGGCTTTCCTCCGCCTCCACCCACCCCGTTCCCCCGTGCTCATTGACAACAGCAATTACTGCTAACTGTGTGCACGGTTCTTGGTGCTTTACATGCACACGTGCATATGTATCCTCAGATCGACCTACGAGGCGCTCTTACCTACTGTCCTGTTGTGCACAGGAGGAAACCAGCACAGACAGGTTTAGGTGTTCGGCTGAGAGCGCGCCGCCTCCAGGTCACGCAGTGCAGGCCACCTGGTTCCCGGGTTAAGTGCTTTACACGCATCAGCTCATTGATTCCTCTCAGTAGCTCCGTCTTTGTCTCTATTTTGCAGATCCAGAAACCAAGGCTCAGAGGCGTGTGCGCACTTGGCCAAGGTTAACTGAAACTAGGCCTCTGGAAAATAGCATCACTTTTCTGAACCCCAATTTTTTCATCTGTAAAATGGTGTAAATACTCCTTGCCACTTAGAGGTGATAACATACATAAACCACTTAAATTAGGTGAGATAAAAATGCCCAACATTTACCCAAAAGCAAGGGAAGCACTGGAAACCTGCTTGACTGTATTTATGAATATTATTATGTATGTCCATCTCCATCAGTCTGATTAGGGGACTCTCCACACCCCGCTGGCATCCACCCCCTTCAGGGAGCCCACCCGGCTTGCACTGGCTCTCCCTTCCCTAACGCCCTCCATTTCACCAGTCCAGGCAGCCAAACTGGAGGCTTCCCCTGCCTGATGCGGGGCCAGCCAGAGTTTCTTCTCTTGAGGGCTTCCCGGGCCCTGTGCCCAGAGTTCAGACGCTGGAGCTGGCACCAGCCCCACTCCCAGAGAGAGCGCTTGAATCAGCCAGAGTTCCTGGCAAACCACAGGCAGGCAGGGGAGATCCACGGGAAGGTAGACAAGAGGGAAGAGGGAGCAGAATTGTTTTATCTGGGAGAGATACCCTGTTATTGTATCTCCAGAACCTCTCTCTTGGTTTTTCATCGCATTTATCATTACAAAACATGTTACAGTAGTTTCCCTTATCCACAGGGGATATGTTCCAAGACCCTAGGCCGGTGCCTGAAACTGTGGATAGTACCCAAACCTATATATACAATGTTTTTCCCTATATGCACATACATACCTATGATAATGTTTAATTGATAAATTATGCATATTAAGAGACTAACAATAACTAATAAGAAAATAGAACACATAACAATATGCTATCATTAAAATTATGTGAATGAAGTCTCTCAAAATATCTCTTACTGTGCTCATCCTTCTCGATGAAGTGAGATGATGGAATGCCCGCGTGAGACCAAGTGAAGGACAAAGGCGTTGTAACTTAACATTAGGCTGCTATTGAACCTCTGATGATGAGGGTTTCTTTTCTTTTATTTTTTATATGGTTTTATTTATTGATTTTTTTAGACAGAGAGGGAGGGAGAGATAGAAACATTGAGGTGAAAGAGAAACATTATTCGGCTGCCTCCTGCACGCCCCCTTCTGGGGATGGAGCCAAAACCCAGGCATATGCCCTGAGTGGGAATTGAACCTCTCAGTAGTGGAATGACACTCAATCCACTGAGCCACACCGGCCGGGCATAAGGGTTTCTTGAACACAAGCACTTTGATACTATGACAGTCTATCTGATAACCAAGAAGGCCACTAAGTGACTAATGGGCGGGTAGTGTATACAGCGTGGATACACTAGATGAAGGGATGATTCACATCCTGGGTGGGATTTATCACGCTATTCAAAACAGCGCACGATTTAAAACTTATGAACTGTTTATTTCTTGAATTTTCCACTTAATATTTTCAGACCATGGTTGACCTCAAGTAAACGAAGCAGCTGAGAGCAAAACCAGGGACAAGGGGCAGACTACTGTATATGTTTCTGTGTTTTATAGTTTGAACCCTCCCACATCACTGTCGGCGACAGGGGGGCTGAAATTGGATTGCTTTTGTTCACTGCTGTGTCTCAGGGCCTAGAACAGTATCTGGCACGAAGTAGGCCTTTATACATATCTGTGGGATGGGGGCATGAATTCCCACCAGCCTCAGTTTTTCACTGAATCTCTAAGCCCTGTGGGCTCTCTCGTCCTCCTAGGCCACTCTAGTGATTTATTCATTTCCATTTAGATCTCTCTGGCCACCATCAGCCTTGTACTGTCTCCTCAACCCCACCCCTTTCAAGAGGTCACAAGACGCGGGCCTTTTAGGGTTTGTGATGGTCCTGTAATATTAAACAGGAGATCCCACCCAGAATCATCAAGGGAGGCTTAAACCATTGATGAAAGTTCAGTGAGGACCAGGATATTCATCTAGTCTCAAAGTGTCTTCCCACAGATTCTTTTTTTTTTTTTTTTGGTACGTGCCCCTAGTGGGAACCGAACCCAGGACTCTCTGGTCTGCAGGCTGACTCTCCAACCGCTGAGCCAAACCGGCCAGGGCCCACAGATTAATTCTTTTTTTTTTTTTTTTAATCCTCACCCAAGGACATTTTTTTCATTTTTTGTTCAGATAGAGTAGGAGGGAGAGAGAGGAAGAGAGAGAGAGAGAAACATGGATGTGAAAGGGACACATCGAGTGGCTGCCACCCGCACAACCCAACCAGGGCCAGGGACAAACCGCAACCGAGATATGTGCCCTTAGCGGGAACCGAACCTGGGTCTCTCTGGACCACAGGCCGACGCTCTAACCACTGAGCGAAACCGGCCAGGGCTAATTCAATTTTTTTTTTTTTTATCCTCACCCTAGGACATTTTTCAATTTTTTGTTCAGACAGAGCGGGAGGGAGAGAGAAGAAGAGAGAGAGGGAGAAACATCGATGTGAAGGGACACATCGAGTGGCTGCCACCCGCACGACCAACCAGGGCCGGGGACAAACTGCAACCGAGGTACGTGCCCTTAGCGGGAACCGAACCCGGGACTCTCTGTACCGCAGGCCGACGCTCCAACCGCTGAGCCAAACCGGCCAGGGCGGCCAGGGCTAATTCTTTATTATAAAGGAAAAAATAATATTAGTGGAGAATACTGGCAGACATCACCTGAACCAGGTGACCGAAGTTAACATCACCAGTGATGGGACAAACTGACACCATGTGCTTCCTGATAGGCACCGAGAAGGACACAGCATCAACTCCGTGGGTTTTCCTGCCAAAGACTCGATCATCTGATCCCTGGTCAAGGGCACGTACCTGGGTTGCGGGAGGCAGCCAATCGATGCATCTCTCTCACATGGATGTTTCCCTCCCTCCCCTTCACTCTGTCTTAAACATCAATGGAAAAATATCCTCAGGTGAGGATTAACAAAAATTAAAATTAAGCCCTGGCCGGTTTGGCTCAGCGGTTAGAGCATCGGCCTGCGGTCCAGAGAGACCTAGGTTTGGTTCCTCCTAGGGGAACGTGCCTCGGTTGCAGTTTGTCCCCAGCCCTGGTTGGTCGTGCAGGTGGCAGCTACTCAATGTGTCCCTTTCACGTCGATGTTTCCCTCTCTCTCGTCTTCTCTCTCCTCCCACTCTATCTGAACAAAAAATGGAAAAGTGTCCTCGGGTGAGGATAAAAAAAAAAATTGAAATTAAAAGAATAAAGGTAGTTAAGGAAACATAACAACAAAGTATGACCTTGGCAGACAGTGATAAAATATGTTATTGGGACAGTGGGGGAAATTTGAATATAAACTATAAATTAGATGATAGTTTTGTATCAATGTTAAATTGATACAAGGAAAATGTTAAATTGGTATTATGATTATATAGGTAAATCATTTCTTGTTCTTAGGAGAATTTGACTTCTGAAAATAATAAGTTGTGGATAATATATATACAGGGTGGGGCAAAAGTAGATTTACAGTTGTTCATATAGAAAATAATACAATAGCCCGGCCGGTGTGGCTCAGTGGACTGAGAGATCCAAGTTCGATTCCCAGTCAGGACACATGCCTGGGTTGCCAGCTCAATCCCCAGTGGTGGGCTTTCAGGAGGCAGCCAACTGATGTGTCTCTCTCACATCGATTCTATCTCTTTCTCTCTCCCTTCCTTTCTCTCTAAAAATCAATAAAGAAAAAAAAGACATTTTTTTAAAAAAGAATACAATAATTAATAAATAATACAAGAATAAACTCACAACGGTAAACCTACTTTTGTCCCACTCTGTATATATACATATATATAATATATATAAAGCAGGCAAAAGAACAAAATTTCAGAAAAGAGGAAATCCAAGGAAACAATGAACATTAATAAAGGCACTCAACTAGTCATCCTGGAAATGCAAATTAAAATCTCAAAAAAAATCAATAAAACATATTTTTAAAAATCACAGTGCAATACCAATATACATCCACCAGAATGGCTAAACTGAAAAAGAACACCACCACCCAGTGTTGGTGAGGATATGGAGGAGGGGGAACTCATACACTGAAAACTGGTCCAACCACCAGGAAAACTCTTGGGCATGTCAACTATAGCTGACCATATCCTATGACCCAGCAATTCCACTCCAACCAGATGTGAACACATGTCTGCCAAAAGACAAATCCCCGTTAACAAATGGATAAATAAATTGTAGCATCTTCACACACAGGAAGTTATATAGCAACGAGAACGCAGCCCCATGCAACAGAGTAGATGGATTTCACAAACAAAACTGGGCAGACAGCAGACATGAAACAATACATACTGTGTGTGTTTTTTTAATATAAAGTACAAAAACAGACAAAATTAACGCACGTTATTAGAAGTCCAGTTAGTGGTTATCCTTGGGGGCACCCTGGGGAGCTGCTCATGTTCTTTTCTTGAGCCGAGTTCTAGTTACCAATTGAATTCAGTTTATGAAATTTGTTCCAGCTCTTCTTTTATGATTTGTGAACTTTCTGTATATATATCGTACTTCAAAAGTTATTTTTGAAAAATAGTGAGTTAGATCTTTATATACAGACATAGATAAATTCCCAAGATGCACCACTGAGTGAAAAAAGCAAGCTGTATGTACACTCACTACGGAAAACAGTATGGCAGTTCCTCAAAACATTAAAAATAGAGTTAACATATGACTTCCACTTTCAATTCCACTTCTAAGTATAGACAAAAAATAACTGAAAACAGGGTCTTGAAGAGATGTTTGTACATCCATGTTCATAGCAGCTTTATTCACAATAGCCCAAAGATCAAAGCAACCCCAGTGTCCATCAACAGATGAATGGAAAAAAAGGGAGTGTATATATACAATGGAATATTATTCAGCCTTTAAACGGCAGGCAAATCTGACATGTGCTATAATATAGATGATTCTTGAGGACATGAAAGAAAGACATAAATGAAATAAGCCAGTCATAAAAAGACAAATACTAAATGACTCTACTTATATTAGGTACATAGAACAGTCAAATTCATAGAGACAGAAAGTAGGATGGTGGTTCCCAGGGGCTGGGGGGAGGGGAAAGGGGAGTTGTTTTTCCATGGGTATAGAGTTTAGATTTTGCAAGATAAAAATAGTTCTAGAGATGGGTTGCACAGTTATGTGCATGCACATAAATGCCACTGATCTGTACATTTAGAAATGGTGCAGATGGTGTCCTAGCTGGTTTGGCTCATTAGTTAGAGCATCGCCCATGGACCAAAGAGGCTCAGGTTCCATTCCGGTGAAGGGCATGTCCTCAGTTGCAGATGGATCCCCAGCCCTGGTCAGGGTCACGGTGGGAGGTAATTGATGTGTCTCTCTCACATCGATGTTTCTCTCTCTCTCTTTCCCTCCCTCCCACTCTATGAAAATCAATGGAAAAATATCCTCAAGTTAGGATTTTTTTTAAAAAATGGTTCAGATGGTAAATTTTATGTTATGTATATTTTACCATAATTTTTTAAAACATTTTTCCTTTATTGATTTTAGAGAGAGAGGAAGGGAGAGGGAGAGATAGACACATCGATGAGAGAGGACATCGATTGGTCACCTCCTGAATGCCCCTCACGGGGGATTTGGCCCACAACCTGGGCATATGCCCTGACCAGGAATAGAACCAGCAACCTCTTGATGCATGGGTTGACGCTCAACCACTGAGCCACACCAGCCGGGCTTTACCATATTTTATTTTTACTTTTTAATGTTTTTGAGTTTTAGAGAGAGAATGGAAAGGGAGAGAGAGAGAAACATCAGTGAAAGAGAAACATTGATAGGCTGCCTTCTGCACAACCCCTACTGGGGATCAAGCCCACAACCTGGACTCGTGCCCTGACGGAATGGAACCAGTGGAATTGAACTAGCAAATTCGCAGTACATGAGTCGACACTCAACCACTGAGCCACACTGGTCAGGCTACCACAATTTTTTAAAAGTAAGAATAAAAAGTACATCAATATTCAGTGTGCTTCTCATAAAAAATATGTAAAATATGCAATTTCAGTAACAACAACAACAATAAAAACCATCAATAATAGCAAACATTATTGTCCTATGTGCCGGGCACTGTCCTAAATTCATTACATGGTTGTATTAGTAATCCATTGCTGTGTGAGAAATTATCCCCCCAAACTTAGTGGTTAAAACAACAAATATTTATCACTGACATCGTTTCTGTGGGTCGGCAATCTGGCGATGGGTTAGCTGAGTGGTTCTGGTTCCGGGTGTCTCATGAAGTTACAGTAGGCATGTTGGCCAGACGCAGTGGTCATCTGAAGATCTGACTGAGGCTGGGAGAGCTGCTTCCATGAGGGGTCACTCACATGGTGCTGGCTGTTGGTAGGACGCCTCAGTTCTTCCCCATTTGGTCTCTTCATTCACAGCTTTACTGTTGTTACAGCAGGATGGCTCCCCTCTCTCAAAGTAAACCATTCAAGAGAGATCAAGGCGGATAATTTTTATGGCCTGGTTTTGGAAGTCACAGCAACACTTCTGCCACGTTCTATTGGTTAGATGCAAGTTATCAAGTGCAGCCATGCAAGTGGAGAGGAATTAGGCTCCACCTACTGAAAGGAGTGTCAAAGAACCAGTGGACATATTTATTTTATTTATTTTTATTGATTTTAGAGAGAGGAAGGGAGAGGGAGAGAGATAGAAACATCGATGAGAGAGAACATCAATCGGCCGCCTCCTGCATGCCTCCACTGGGGATTGGTGCCACATGCTGGGCATGTGCCCTGACTAGAATCGAATCAGCAACCTCCTGCTACATGGGTTGACGCTCAATCCACTGAGGTACACCGGCTAGGCCTGTGAACATATTTGAAAACAGCTTCATACACTCATTAAATGCTGACAACAATCTAACAAGGTGGGTACTATCATTCATTCTCATGTCACAGATGAATAAACTGAGGCATTGAAGATCACACAGAAGGGGCAGAGCCAAAACTAAAATCCAGCATTGGCCGGTTTGGCTCAGCGGTTAGAGCATTGGCCTGCGGTCCAGAGAGACCCGGGCTCAGGGTTCAGTTCCTGCTAAGGGCACATACTGCGGTTGCAGTTTGTCCCTGGCCCTGGTTGGGTCGTGCGGGAGGCGGCCATTTGTTGTGTCCTGTTCACGTCGATGTTTCTCTCTCTTTTTCTCTCTTCCTCTCTCTCCCTCTATCTCCCTCCCACTCTATCTGAACAAAAAATGGAAAAATGTCCTTGGGTGAGGATAAACAAACAAACACAAAAAAACAAAACTAAAATCCAGGCAGTCAAACAGGGAAGCATTTTCTTAATCATTAATATCAACTAGTAGGGAAAAAACCAATTTAGAAAAAATATTTAAGGCCCTGGCCGGGAATTTCAATTGGTTAGAGCATTGTCCTCATACGCCAAAGTTACAGGTTCAATTCCTGGTTGAGGAACATACAAGAATCAACCAATGAATGCATAAATAAGTGAACAACAAATTGATGTTTCTCTCTCTCTCTTTCTCCCTCTCTCTCTAAAGATCAATAAATTAAAATTGTTTTAAAATTTTTAAATAACCTTGTTGGTGCAGCTCAGTGGACTGAGCCTTGTCCCATGGACTGAGAGGTCCAGGTTTGATTCCTGGTCAGGGCACATACCCAGGTTCTGGGCTCGATCCCCAGTGTGGGGACATGCAGGAGGTGATTAGTAGATGTTTCTCTCTCTCTTTTAAAAAATACTTAAGAAGAACCGTAGCCGGTTTGGCTCAGCTATTAGAGCATTGGCCAGAGGACCAATGAGTTGCAGATTTGATTCCAGTCAAGGGCACATACCTCGGCTGCAGTTTGTCCCAGGCCCTGGTCCAGGTTGTGCAGGAGGCAACCAGTCTATGTGTCTCTCTCACCTTGATGCTTCTCTCTATCTTCCTCCCTCCCACTCTATCTGAAGATAAATGGAAAAATATCCTGGGGTGAGGAATAAAAAAAAAAAAGGAGCACGGACAGGACTTGATAACTAGCTGGCTGTGGGAAGTGACAGCTTCTAGGATGACGCCCAAGCACAACCTCCAGCGTCCTTGGCATCTGGGAGACCCGGGTCCAAGAATGGCAGGATAGCAAAGAGGTTAAGAACATAAAGTGTGCCCTGGCCGGTTTGGCTCAGCGGTTAGAGCGTCGGCCTGCGGTCCTGAGAGACCCGGGTTCGGTTCCCGCTAAGGGCATGTACCTCGGTTGCAGTTTGTCCCTGGCTCTGGTCAGTCGTGTGGGTGGCAGCCACTCGATGTGTTCCTTCACGTCGATGTTTCTCTCTCTCTCTGTTCCTCTCTCCCCCTCCTACTCTACCTGAACAAAAAATGGAAAAATGTCCTCGGGTGAGGTTGAAAAAAAAAAAAAGAACATAAAGTGTAAGGCCAGGGTCAGACAGAACTGCGATCAATGTGGCTGAAGGCAAACGATTTTGCCCCAATTTCTTCATTTTTAAATAAAGCTGGTAATAGTACCTACGAGGGTGGGATGCCTGCGAGGATGAAAGGAGATGGACATGCAAAAGGACCATTTTCCGGGGGACTGGTACAAAGAAAGAACTCGGTAAATGGTGGTTTTCAAGTAGACTCGTTCGTGAACTTCGCTACTGAAGCCGTGTCTGTACACAGACGTTATCCTACTGAAACGCTGCCCCGCAGCTTTGGGCGGGTGGCTCCGGCGGCCTGGAGGACGAGGGCCTGCGGCCCGGAAGGTGCCCCTGCCCTCGCGCCCACTGCACGGGGGAGAAACCTGAAACTGGAGCCGGGCAGGGTCACAAGACGAGTTACTGGCAGAGTCCAGGTTTTAAGAAGCGGATTTTCTGCAGATAGAGAGGCCTCGGTTCCTCATTTCTCAGGCCTCCTCCCCACGCCCCCGTCCTTGCTCAGAAGCGGCCCGGAGAAGAACTGGGCAGTTTTTCTGAGAAGGAAGCGTGGGGAACTCAAAAAAAAAAAAAAAGGAAGGAAAACCCTCCTCCCCAGCTTCCTGAGCATCTCTGAATGAGGAAGGATTTTTTCCCAGTATGAGGCAGGAGGATGCACTCGCCTTGGTTCTGGCTCAAACCTCTGGTTTGTGGTGCACGTCGGGGTGAGGTCTGAGGGTCACGGGGCAGCGATGGATGTGTTTATTTTGTGCAGGAGGCACCTGGAGAAACAGTCGGCACTCACACGCCCTCAGCCGCACTCCCGCGGGCGGCGGCCCCGCCACGCCCCAAATGGCGGAACCGCGGGACCAGGCGGCAGAGAAGCTCTTCCCAAAATGGAGAGAAGACAGAGAACATCCATCACGAGCTTAGCCCCGCCCCCGCGGGCAGCTAGGGCCAATGAGCGATCCGCAGGGCGGGTGCAAGGCCAGGGGAGGAGGTGGCTGTTGCCCCAGCAACAACCTGGGAGAAAGAAGGCGGGCGAGGCCTTGGAGGGATCGCGGCGCCTCGGATCTCTCGCTGCGGGAAAGGTCCTGAGAGAGGCGCGAGCCGGCCTGGGAAGTCAGCGCCCGCGGAGAGAGGGACAGGTCAGGCCCATGAACTCCAATCCCGGTGCCGCTTTCGCCCGCCCTAACCGTTAGCTGTTCTGAGATAGGAATAGCGCATGCGTACGCTTAGAGGCGGGGCTCTCGAGCTTGTGGGCGGAGCTACTAGCGCCGGGGCGGAGTTTTCCTCACTGAGCGAGAAGTTATTTTTGAGTTAGACGCCAGCTCTTCAGCCCAGCGCTCCCTACTCCCCTCATTTTTTCGGGGCTCTCCTCGAGGCATTTAGGATCATGGTGAAGACCCTAGCCTCAGTGGTTTGAGGAAACTACTTAGAATCCTAGTTTGGAGGGCCTCAGTTTCCTCATCTGTCAAGGGGGAATAATCGTGTTCTTACCTCACAAGGTTGTGATTCTGTTTTTACCCTCTCAGGAGAGCATGGCTGAGGTGCACGTGATCGGGCAGATCGTAGGGGCCACCGGTTTCTCAGAAAGTAGCCTCTTCTGCAAGTGGGGCGTCCACACAGGTATTCCCACCCAACTCCCAGCCTAGAGGTTCCACCCTGCACCTTGACCCCCTGGCCCAGCCCCTGATCCTCATCTTCCATCCACTCTCAGGACCCCTAGCCCTGACTACAGTGTGTCCACGTGTCTCGTGTTCCCTTCTTACCCTTTCCCATCCCATCCCCGGGGGCTCTGGCTCCTACTCTGAACACACAGCCCCTCAGGACCTGAGGCGACATAGGCCAGACCTCACCCACACTCCCAATCCTCAGAACACTGGACAGCCTTAGCCCCATTGTGTGGACTTCTTTCACTGTCGTAGGGGTGCCCTGGGCCTCTCCCCTATCTTACTTCTTTGCTTAACAGTCTCCGTTTATTGAGTTCTTACTGTAAAATGGAAGTCTCCATCCCACATTTACAGAGGAAAGGCCACCTTCCTGAATTCATAATTCTCTGTGAGAAAGTAGGAACCTGGTTCTGGTTCCATCCAAGCCCATCCACATGGCCCAGGAGGGTCGTGCCTCCCCATGTGAGGCAGGATGATGTTGTGGCGTAGTGTAATGGTCAGCGCCGCCGGATCTGGGCTCAGATACTAACTCTCCCACCTATTACATCGGGGGGCCTTTGGACTCAACCTCTCTGAGCCCCAGTTTCTTTGTCTGAAAATGAAGCTAAGAGCTGAGAGACAGCCCAGTGTTGAGGTTAAGAGCACAGACTGCCTGGGTTGAAAACCAGTTGTTTATTAATTGTGTGACATCGGACACTTGTCTTTGCCTCTATTCCCTGTCTGTACAATGGCAATAACAACAATACTTACCTCATGGGGTGGTTGTGTGAACTAAGTGAATCACAACGCACTTAGCAGGGGACCTGGCTTAGTCAGTGTTCAGTAGGCGTTTATTCGGCTCATGGAAAAGTTGTTTGAAAAGCCCTGGGTATGTTGAGCAGCACAGATAAATGCACACGGAACGAGTGTGGCTACTGCCATCATCCTCTCTTCAGGCCCTGGGTCCACTGGTGGGTAGGGTGATGGCTGAGAGTCCCTGGGAAATCGTGGTCCTCCAGCTGAGCACATGAAAAGGCAGGCTCTGGAGTCAAGCTTGGTTTTCAGTCTAGGCACCACCTGCTGTGTGACCCTGGGCAGGTGCTGTCCCCTCTTGGATGGAGCCTCAGTTTCCTCATCTGTAAAGTGGGATATATTGTATGTGAAAAGCCAGACTTAAGGCCTCGTGCTTTCCTTCCCTGGACCAGAGAGAATAAATCATTCGGTGTTTACGATTTCAGGGGACTGCTGGGGAAGGGCGGTTAATCCAGCAGAGAGCCCAGAGGCAGTCAGATAAAGGGCTTGGGCTCTGCAGTCCGACAGAGCTCAGTCTGAGTCCAGCTCCACCATGGGACCTTGGTCTGCTGCGGTCCTGCTGTACCCCACATGGAGAACAGTGCTTGGCGCACAGTAGGGGTTCAATAAATGTTCTCCGAATGAATGGACAAGTGACTTTCCTTCTTAGAATCTGTTTCTTTACTTGTAAGGTGGGGCCTATATTAGCACCCACCTCCCAGGCCCACTTTGCCCAACAAACATTTATTGAGCACCTTCTGTATACTAAGATCTGGGTTTAGGGTCCTGGGGGTCCAGCATTGTGCAATATCCCTGCTCTCCTGGGCTCACAGGAGGGGAGACAGAATAAATAAGCAAATAAGGAAATGAGTGTAATAATTACAGATGGTGGTAGGTACTCAGAAGAAATTAGGTGAAATAATGTGATAGGGCTTAGTTTTGGTTGGGAGGGGGGTCAGGGAGAACCCCTCTGTAAAAGTGGCCCTTGAGCTGATCCCTGAGGGATGAACAAAAGCCAGGCATGGGGACATCCAGGAGCACAGCTTTCTAGGCTGAGGGAACAGCCAGTGCAAAGGTCCTGAGGAAGGAAACAAAAATAGGACCAGCGAGGCTAGAGGTAGTGAGGGATGAGGAGAGTGATAGGAGATGAGTTCAGGAAGAGGGATACAGGCCAGTTACAGGGCTTCGTGGGCTTTGCGGAGAGTCTGTAGCCTGGGGATGGGGTGGGGATTAAGAGCCCTAGAGCGCGGATTAAATGAATTCATCACTGAAGTGCTTAGCACAGCATCTGGCATTTGGTAAGCATTCAGTGCATATTTGCTATTATTATCACCCTCAGTAGGACTGTATTATGATGTGCCTTTCATGGTGTGCTCGTGCTCTCTGTTGAAGGGCACCCTTGGTCCCATCTTAGCCCTTGGACGAGGCCTCTAAGTGCAGGGTGAGAATACTAACAAAATGATACCCAACACGTATCCAGCACTCACTATGTCCCAGGCATAGTGAGTGCCTAATATATCCAGGCCCTGTTCTAAGTGCTTGTGTGTATTAGCTCATTGAGTCCGCTCACAAAATGACAAGGAATGCCTTATTACACCCACTTGACACATGGAGAGACCGAGGCAGGGAAAGGTAACTTGCCCGTGTGCACAGGCAGGAAGAAGTAATGCCAGGATTTGAACCCAGTCATTTGGCTCCAGAGTCCATGCTTTGTAACCCTGTCCCCCAGTGCCAGGGAGAAACAGGATCTTCCAGCCACAGTGGCATCCCCTTCCTGATGGCTGCCTCCCCCCCTTCCCTGCCCCATCTGTGTTCTGGCTCTCATTGCAGGGGCGGCATGGAAGCTCCTGTCAGGCATACGGGAGGGCCAAACACAGGTGGACACCCCCCAGATAGGGGACATGGCCTACTGGTCCCACCCCATTGACCTGCACTTCGCCACCAAAGGCCTCCAAGGTGGGTTCCTGGCCTGGGCCCTGAGCAGGACAGGGTTAGCAGCACCCCACGGGTTGGGACTGGGAACACCAAGTCTTGTCCTTGTTGTCCTGCCCTTTGGGTTCCTTCCCCAGCCAGGCCTTGCCATGCAGAGGCTGAGCGGAGGCCTCCCGTGGCTGGCTCTAGTGTCAGAGGCCAGGGTTGGAAGGGGAGAGGGGAAGGTGGAGACCAGGGAGGAGAGGGGAGGCGGTTTTCAAAGAGAGAAACCGAGAAAGTTCAATCAGAAGGAAGCTGGAGGGGTTATGAGAGAAAGGCAGGCTGGTGGTTGTTCTCAAGCAGGGCTCCCAGGCTGTTCAGAGGAGAAATAAGTATGTGGGGGAAGAAGGGTATCGGAAATCTTTTCTAGTGGAAAACTTGGGTCATTGGAGAGAAGTAGGTTCCAGGAAATAGCCTAGGTAAATATGTTATGTATTTCAACAATTTAAATAGTATTTACTGAGGGCCTTCCCTGGGGCAGGTGATATCAGGGAGATGTCAGTGATTGAAACAGCCCCCAGCCGTGTCCTCACAGGGTTCACCATCCTCTGGGGGAGACAGAGCTATTCCCAGAAAGTGGCAGCCCAGAGTGGGCAGGGATGGGATGGAGAATTCTAGTGGGCTATGGGAGCCAAAAGGAGGCTCCTGACTGCTGGGGAGCTCAGGGTGGGCTTCCTGGAGGAGGGGATGTTGAGTTTTGCTGTGAAGGGCCAGTAGGAGCTAATAAGGCAAAGGGAAGGAAGAGGGATCAAGGCAGAGAGCTGTATGTGGAAGGCTCTAAAGGTAAAGTGAGGCAGGACATTTGCAAGATGGAGGGAAAGCAGGGAGACTGCAGGGGGTGAGGTGGCAGGGGACAGGGGACAGGCCATGCAGGGCCTTGAATTCCAGGCTGCGGAGCTGAGGTCATCCTCCGAAGGCACTGGGGAGCCACAACACATGACTGACAAATCAGAGTTTGCTTCTAACAGACCCTCCTAGCTGCTTGTGGTGATGGATTAGAGGGTGAGGCAGGCAACTGTCCTTTCACTCTTCAGACCCCAGGTCCTCCCTTCACTGGTCCCACCAGGCAGCTCCCACCTCAGGACCTTTTCACAGGCGATTCCCTCTGCTGGGAATGCTCTTCCCTATATGTCCACATGGCCCACTCCCTTCCCTCATTTAAACATTCACTCAGATGTCCCCTTCTTAGTGAAACTTCTCTTGATCATCCCCTTTCTAAAACTGTATCCCACCCCCACCCTACCTAGCTTTGTTTTTCTCCAGAGTAGTTATCACCATCTGACATACCCTATAATTTGCTTATTTACTATGTTCGTTGTCTAGGATGTCAGCTGCACAAGGGCAGGAATTTTGGTCTGCTCTGTTCACCTCTGTGTCCCAGCTTGTAGAACAGGGCCTAGCACAGAGTGGCTCAGACAGGAGAGTAGAAGGGGGCTCGATCTCCAAGGGCTTTGCCTACCAGGTTCAGGAGCTGAACTGTATTCTTAGGACACTGGAAAACCTATGAGAGGAGAAAGATGCTCCCAGATGCCAGGTGGAAGGTGAATTGGAGGGGGCAAGAAAGAAGTCCTTGAGCCCAGAGAGGACAGAGTGGGTCACAGGGCGGGAATGGGGGAGACATCTAGGACAAGGCTCAAGGTGCTCGCTCACCTGGGGAATGGGCAGCCCTGGGAAAGGGACATGGAGGAGGAGGCCACAGAGAGGGAAATCAGCAGAGGCTCGATCCAAAGGGCCTTGAATGTTGAGGTTGGATTTTATCCTGAAGGCACTGGGGAGCCATGGAAGGGTTTTGAGCAGGGGAGAAACATGGATTTAGAAATATCCTTTTGGCTGCTCGTGGGGAGTGGGAGTGCAGAGAGGAGACTAGGGCAGAAACCCAGGGTAGAAAGGACTGAGCCTGGAGCCGCCAGTGGGGATCAAGGAGGTGGGGACTCAGGATGGGGAGATCGAGCTGTGCCCATCCCTCTGTCCCTCCTGTCTTACAGGCTGGCCCCGGCTCCATCTCCAGGTGTGGTCCCAGGATAGCTTCGGCCGCTGCCAGCTTGCAGGCTACGGCTTCTGCCACGTGCCCAGCAGTCCAGGCACCCACCAGCTTGACTGTCCCACCTGGCGGCCCCTGGGCAGCTGGCGGGAGCAGCTGGCACGGGCCTTCGTAGGTGGTGGGCCTCAGCTGCTGCATGGGGATGCCATCTACAGTGGAGCTGACCGCTATCGCCTGCATACAGCCGCTGGTGGCACTGTGCACCTTGACCTGGGCCTGTTGCTGCGCCACTTTGATCGCTATGGCGTGGAATGCTGAGGAACTCTGACTCTGTGGCCCCCATCCACATCTCTGGACACCCATGAGGGGCAGGATGTGCAGCGGTTTGAATTGCAGGCTCTGGAGAGTGCCAGACCTGACCCCAGCCAAGTCATGGAGTGGCTTCTGTCCTGGCCCGCACCTCAAGCTGTCCCTCTGAAGTCCTGTTCACCCATTAGTGAAATGGGGATAGCAAGTGTGTAGGGCAAGGGGTGTGGGGTAGAAGAGGCTCCCTGGCACGTGGAAGTGCTGAATAAAGGAGAGCAGTTCTGATGGGTGTGGGTGCCTCCCTGAATGCCGGCCTGTGCCCCGTTCTCCCACTGACACCCTTCTTTATCAGACCCCCATCTTCTGACTCGCCTCCTATCCTTTGCCTCAAACTCTGACCCCTTCCCACTCTGGGTACCCCCTAATGAACCCTTCCCCTTGGGGGTTTACTTCCTCTGCCCCTCTGCACCAGTCACCCACTCTCTGTTCTGGGTCCCTTCCTCTGATCCACTGTACTCTGTGTCCCCATCCTCTGACTGAGCCTTCCCCCAGGTCTTCATTCTCTTGGTAACCCCCCCAAACCCTGCACAGCCATCAAAGCCACGCGCATCCGGGTCGCCCGCTTTGGTAGCTGTCAGCCGCCAGGAGGCAGCACCCTGTTCGTGGGGCGGGGCCGGGGTGCCCGCCCCCTCCCGGGCGGTTTAGGGGACCCCCCTCGGAGCCCGCCCACGCGAGCTGAGGACGGTGGCCCGGCCCCCCCATGCCCTCCCCTTGGGGGCCGCCCCCGCCCCGCGCGCTTCCTGGGTGGGGCCGGGGCGGCTTCAAAACCCCCCGCCACCCTAGCCGGTCCTTGCCGCCGCCGCCCTTCGCGCCCCGGGCCGTCCCACTCCCTCCTCCCGCCGCGGATCCACCAGACAGCGAGGCCCCCGGCCGGGGGCAGGGGGGACGCCCCTCCGGGGCAGCCCCCCCGGTTCGGAGCCACCCTCGGGGCCGGCCTCGGCCAGGAGCGGAGGAAGGAGCAGCCCGAGGCCCCAGAGTCTGAGACGAGCCGCCGCCGCCGCCCCCGCCGCCGCCGCCGCCGCCGCCACTGTTGGGAGGAGGGGGAGGAGGAGCGGGAGGAGGGACGAGCTGGTTGGGAGAAGAGGAAAAAAGTTTTGAGACTTTTCCGCTGCCGCTGGGAGCCGGAGGCGCGGGGACCGCTTGGCACGACGCTGCTCGGCGAGGAGACAGGACTTGGGGACCCCAGATCGCCTCCCCCCTCACTGCCTCGGACGCTTGCTCCTTCCCTGCCCCCTGCGCGGCGTCCCCCAGCAGCCCCGGTTCCTGACCAGCCCTCAGGAAACGCAAACCCGACTCCCGCGAAGACCTGACCCAGGACCTCGGGCGCACCCCCTGCACGCTCCCCACCCCCAGCCTCTCTCCTGAGCCCCCACGCATCCGAGAACTCTTCCCCTCCAGGATCCGGGAGACGGGATCTCTCAGACCTGTCTCAGCTGCCCTGTTCAAGACCACCCACCTCTGGCACCAGCTCGCTCCCATCTCGGATTTTTCCGTGGGATAACAAGAAGCCACGCACCAGAACCTCCCTTCCTTCTCCTTGAAGACCTAACTCTACCCCCACCCCGCCCCCAGACTCTCCTACCTTTCGTCGGAAGACCCACCCCCCCAGCCCCGGTAGGAGTGGGGCCTCCCTTTTCCCACACCAGCCCGGCTCGCGCTCTCGGCAGTGCCGGGGGGCGCTGCCTCCCCCATGCCGCCCTCCGGGCTGCGGCTGCTGCCGCTGCTGCTGCCGCTGCTGTGGCTACTAGTGCTCACACCCGGCCGGCCGGCCGCCGGACTGTCCACCTGCAAGACCATCGACATGGAGCTGGTGAAGCGGAAGCGCATCGAGGCCATCCGCGGCCAGATTCTGTCCAAGCTGCGGCTCGCCAGCCCCCCGAGCCAGGGGGAGGTGCCGCCCGGCCCGCTGCCGGAGGCCGTGCTGGCCCTTTACAACAGTACCCGCGACCGGGTAGCCGGGGAGAGCGCCCAGCCGGAGCCGGAGCCCGAGGCGGACTACTACGCCAAGGAGGTCACCCGCGTGCTAACGGTGGATAACAGCCACGGTGAGCTCGGAGGCTCAGGGGACCCTGGAGGGGAGCCCTCGGCGGGCGCCGGCGCGCTGGGGTCGGGGAGGAAATTACCGAGGGAGGAAACTGGCTGGAGGAAGAGGACCCCGGGGGGCACCGGGAACATGGGAGAGGGGTCCCGAAGAGGATAGGGCCGAGCTTCCTACCCCCCAGGTATCTTGTCTTGAAAAGGAGGAGATAGAGAGCGAAGCTGACCTCTTCTAGAGGCGACAAGAACATGAGGGGTCGTGGGGAGAGTCCCCCAGAGAGAAGGAAACAATTGGGGGGAGGGGTAGAAGACGACTTTATGCTCCAGGGTGCACCCGAGTGCGGGGGTCGCAGGGGGGGGCTGCAGCGAGGGAGCCCGCTTTGGGAGAAGCGGAGACCCCAGTTTGGGGCCAGGAGAGGCAGTGGGGAAAGCTGACCCGGAGCTCAGGGGTCGTGAGGCGGGAAAATTCAAAGACAGAAAAACTAGGTGACGATTAGCTCCCCAGTGCACTCAATGTAAAGTCCAGCCTCAACATTCAAAGCCCTTGGAGGTGCAAGGACAACGGAGGGCAGACCCGCTTGCAGAGGGCGCGAGGAACACGCGGGGTTGGGGGAGTGCAGAGAGAGGAGCGACGAGGGGTGCGAAGTTCCGGGAAGAAAGGGGCGCGAGGTCGTAGGTAGAGAGGGGGAACTAGCAGGAGAGAAGCTGAGACCCCAGGGGACGCCGGGGATGCGCCGTGAGGTGCTCACAGTATTTCGCAGATGGACGTGCGAGGAGGAAGCCAGCGGAGGAAGCGAGCCCCCGGGAAACCTGCAACGCCGGGTCGTGGGAAGGGGTGTTACAGAGAGAGGGGAGACGAGCGTGGGAAAGGTGGACCTGGAGGGAGGTGGGGAGATAAACGGTGCCCTGCAGGGAGCAGCGAGCCCCCTCCCCACGCCGCGAGGCCCAGTGGGAGAGATGGGTGGGTGCGACTCTGCAGGAACCTGGAGGAGAAACCCCACGTGGGCGCCACGCGCGGGGGGAGGAGCTGCGCGTCCGGAAGAGGGGAGATGGACCCCGCCGAGCTAAAGGCTGAGAGGCTAGACCCCACAGTGTCAGTTCCTCTCCTCGAGGCTGGGGAAACCCCAGCGTCCGGCCGCCTCGCCCGCCCGCCCTCTCTTCCCTTTCCTTCCCTTGCCCCGAGGGGCGGGGATCGCGCGCGGAGCCTGGGGCGAGATGAGGCAGGTCCGGTCCCCGCCCTCGCGGCGGCGGCGCCTCCCGCCCTCTTCACCCCAGTTCCGGGCGGGGCTGCAGTGGGCCCGCCCCGTCGGCGCCCACGCGGGGACCCAAGCGTCCTAAGTGGCCCGGTGACTTGGGGCGGCCCCCCCTGCTCTCACTTTCCCACTTGGGCGGTGGACTTGTGGGTCTCCAGCCCATTCTTTTGCCCAATTGTGGCTCCAGCCAAATAATGCCCATTCCCACCCACATGTCCATCTCACCTCTTCAGTCGCCTCACCTTTGTGGTAGAGATTTCACAGTGATATCTTCAATATTCTCCACCTGGCCCCCAAACCCTGTCTCCGTGTGTGTCTCTCCCATCTCTGTCTTTCCATCTCTCCCGCATCCCCACCAGTCTCCATCTCTCCCCTCTTTCTCCTCCACACCTCCTCCCTACCTCTCCCTGGCTCTGCGGTCTCACCCTCTCTCCTTCCGTGGGTCCCTGCCCTTTCTCTCTCTTCTTCCCTATCTGTCTCCCCACCCTGGCTCTACCCTTCCTCTGGGGTTTGCTGAGTAACCCCTGGGTCAAGATAGTGCTTATTTGCAGGGGGCGAGATTGGCCTGGCTAGAATGGGGAGTAGAGGACTGGGCCCCACAACATTTCTTTCTTTCTTGTTTTTTTATTCCTCACCCGAGGATATTTTCCTATATTATCAGACAGAGTGGGAGGGAGGGAGGGAGAGAGAGAGAGACAGAGAGAAACATTGATGTGATAGAGCCTCATGGACTGGTTGCCTCCCACTCGACCAGACCACGGCCAGGGACAACCGCTAACCGCTGAGCCAAACCAGCCAGGGCACCTCTGACATTTCTGTCTAGTTTTTAGGACACCCCCCCCCCAGGCCTAAAGCAGATAGATGCCCCAGTTCCAGGAGTTCATGGCCTGCGCCCTCAACCTCAACCCCAAACTTTTCCTAGACTAGAAAACACTTCCTAATTTTCTCCCCCCACCCCCAAGCCATTCTTGCCTAAAATGAACTTTGCCTTTTCTAATCAGCGGAGGGAGGGAGCAGTTAATAATACCAATAATGTCTCTGGAACCAGAATGCCCGAGTTCGAATTTCCATTCTGCAGCTTCCTAGCTATGTGACCTCGGGGCAGATTACTTGATCTTGTTATGCTTCAATTTTACCACCTATAGAATGGGTATAATAATAATACAGTAGAACCTCGGTTTTCAACTTAATTCATTCCAGAAAGCTGTTTGAAAACCGAAACAGTTTTTCCCCTTAGAAATAATGTAAATTGAATTAATCTGTTCCAGACCCTCAAATGATTCCGGGTTTTTTTTGTGTTTTTTTTTTATCCTCACCCGAGGACATTTTTTCTATTTTTTGTTCAGATAGAGTGTGGGAGGGAGAGAGAGAGAGAAACATCGACGTGAAAGGGACACGTCGAGTGGTTGCCACCCACACGACCCAACCAGGGCCAGGGACAAACTGCAACCGAGGTACGTGCCCTTAGCGGGAACCGAACCCGGGTCTCTCAGGACCGCAGGCCGACGCTTTAACCGCTGAGCCAAACCAGCCAGGGCAATGATTCTTATATACAGTACATGTCTAATGTACTGTTTAATCTATAAATAAACACTTTAAAAACAAAAAGGACATGAAATGTAGATTGAAATTTAACAAAAAAGAAATGACATGTACAGTAATAAGTGAAAATTTAATAATAATAAGCAGCAACAAAAGCAGAAGAAAAAACCATTAAAATATTTACAGCACAATTTCCTGAGATGTTAAAAGCGGTAAACTGACTCATACTTGTGCATTCTTTCCATTGTTTGTCACCTGAGAGACCTGTGACTGATCACACAGGATCAGCGTGAAAGGGTTGTGGGGTTGAGAAGCGAATTGTTGAAATGGGAGACGTTCGAAAACCAAGGTTTGACTGTATCTTCCTCATGGGTTTGTTGCGAGGTTTAAATGCAAAGTGCTTTGAATAGCGCGTTAACATACACTTTAGAGCGACCACTGTGTGCAGACTCTGTGTGACATGCTTTATCTGCATCATCGCTCTTATTTCACACTCATGCTGCAATCCGTCCTTGTTTTACAGGTGAGAATTTGGCACAGAGGCCAGAGTTACTCAGAGCTTCAGTTAGGACTGTGGGCTGCAAGGCAGGGAGCTTGATGTGGTTGCCATTCTCCAGGAATAGCAGGAAACTGAGGCTCCCAGAGGGGACGTGACTTGCCAAGGTCACGGAGCCCTAAGGCAGCCGGGACAGGGTCTGCTCCAAAAGCCCTTGACCCTACACCGCCGTGTAACTCGCTTTTGAGGCTCCAAGCACTGGGGACCTCTGCGCAAGCAAAGCAGACACCTCGGGTGCCAGCCTGGACTGAGTGGGCACTTTACGGATGATAGGCGAGAAAGGTTTTACAGAGAGGGAAACAAACCCAGAGAGGGCAAGCGCTCGCCCAAGGTCAGGGTCAGACCTCTGCCCAGGGCTGTCAGCTCTGCAGTCCACACGTTTACACCAGGTGTGCATCAGCTCCCTGCCACACCCCTGACATCCTCCTTCTCTTCTCCTTCTGCCTAGAAATCTATAAGACATTCAAGCATAACTTACAGAGCATATACATGTTCTTCAACATGTCGGATCTCCGGGAAGCAGTGCCCGAACCCGAGCTGCTCTCCCAGGCAGAGCTGCGCCTGCAGAGGCACAAGTTGAAAGTGGAGCAGCACGTGGAGCTGTACCAGGTGGGGGCACAGGCCAGGTGGGCCACTGGGCCGCAGGTGCCTGCACGGTCCACACAGGTGGAGCGTGAAAGGTGGAGGAGCACAGACCGTGGAATCACAGGGCTCTTGGGAACCAGACTCCGAGCACCCTAGAACACGAACCACTTAAAAGGCTGGAATCTTAGCCACTGGATTCTAGAACGCAGGACTCGAGAGCTGAAATCTCTAGAACGGTTCAGAGTTCTCAACCTGCTCTGTCCTGTGCGGAAGCCACTAGTCACATATGGCCATTCACGTTGATTACAATTGCGAGCAAAAATGCAAGTCCTCTGTCTCACTGGCCGTATTTCAAGTGGCCGTAGTCACATGTGGTTAGCGGCTATTTTGGACACCACAGATAAAGAACATTGCCATCGCCACAGAGGTCTCTTGGGTAGCTCTGTTCTAGAAAAGTCGGAGTCTTCAGGAAGATTGGGACCTCTGGAAGAGCAGGGGTCTCTAGAAGGTCAAGTGGCCTAGAATCCATGTCATAGGGAACTTGAGATTCTACAGTAGATGGTAGACTCTTACAAAAGGGAAACTGGTCTGATGTTAACTTCTTGGCATCTAGAGAACCCGGCTTCACGCTACCAGCCCTGGAGTGTTCTGTCCAGCCCCAGGCGATCACTCCACATGATATCAGATGTCTGCGGCTTCTAGGTTTGTGGCATGCCAGAGTCCTGGACTTGTGGAGCATTTGTCTCTTAGAACCTTGGAGGCTCATTGACCGTGTAATTCTTGGAATGCTGTCAAACCCTGGAGTTATACAATGACATCTAACATAAGCCCCCAGAAAGTTATAGTCTCAGAATTCAGGGTGTCAAATGTGCAGAATTGTATGCTGAGTGAAGCCCGAGATGTCTGCAGGAAAATCTGAGCACTGGGTTGTCCGGGCTCAAAGGGGCCTGGCATTTCGCCAGCAAGGAAACTGAGGCCTAGAGAGAGAAAAGCACGTCCACGGCCCCAGAGGGGGTCAGGGGCCCGGGCTGAGCAGTTCAGGTGCCTTGACCCCCAGCCTGGGGCTCGCTGTGGCACAGGAGGTTCCTGCGGGGCCCCACAGCGTGGGTGTCTGGGAGGGGACTGTCTGAAGGCCCATTTAGGGGAGCAGATGGAGTGGGGGTACAGGCCGTGGATGTGGAGTCTCATGGCAGCATCTGCCCACCATCTCTCTCCTCCCATTCATCATCCCCTAGACGTACAGCAACAACTCCTGGCGCTACCTCAGCAACCAGCTGCTGGCCCCCAGCGACACGCCCGAGTGGCTGTCCTTTGAGGTCACTGGAGTCGTGCGGCAGTGGCTGAGCCACAGAGGTGAGGACCACTTGTCTGCCCCACCCTATTTTGCAATGGGGTCAACCCCATTGTTTGTCCTGGGACTGCCCTGCCTAGCACCCCCACACTATATTGGTGCCAAAGGGCTGAGACCTGGCCTTCCTCCCAGACACTCAAACCTGGGTGATTAATGGATTGATCTATTTCCTGAGCACTGGCCTTGTGCTGGGTGATTCTGGGGACACAGCAGTGACAAAAACAACCCTTTCCTTGCCCTCCCAGAGCTCGTGGTCCATTGCTGGGGTGGGGGAAGGGGATGAAAGACCTGTAAACTGGGTAGTAATGACCCAGAGTGGGCAGGCCTGGAATGGGGAGCCCGGAGGCGGTGGCTGCCCAGCCTGGGATCAAGGAGGGCTTCCTGGAGGAGGGAGGGGACATCAGAGTCGATGTCTGAGGGGTGAGTGGAACCAGCCCCGGAAAGGAGGAGGGGCAAGACTGTTGGAGGCGGAGGGACAGGCTATGCAAAGGCTCTTACTCCAGGGACAGCCTGATGCATCGTCTGTCTGGAAGAGGGTGGTGTCTGTCCTGTCCCAGCTGAGTCCACAGCGCCCACATGTCCCTTCCTGGTCTCCCTCCTGTCCATGCCTCCATTCAGTAAATGCCAGTAGGTCCCTGCTGTGTGCCTGGGCCTGTGCCGGTGAGGCAGGGGAGACCGTGGTAACCAAGGCGACTTCTAGGTCCTGTCCTCACGGGGCCCACTGTTACTTCTAGACGCCTAGGAAGTCTTGTCAAAGCCCTAGTGAGGACCAGAATGATCAGGGCCAGGATGGGGGAGCCCAGAGCAGACACCCCAACCCATCTGGAGGAGGTGCTCTGGGAAGGCTTCCTGAGGGTAAGGGTGATGGTGTTGAGTCTCACGGGACAGGTGGCGGCTTGGCCGGATGGGAAGATGGGGCTTAGGGAGCAGGTGGGCGCTGGGAGGAGGGTCTGGGCTGCTGGACAAAGGCCCGTCTTGGTCACTGTTGAGCCCAGAGCACCCAGGACAGGGTCCAGCACATAGTAGGAGCTCAGAAAATCCACTCATGCATTCAAGAAGCCTGTCTCCCACAGCTGCCCTGGGGCAAGCGGCCCGAGTGGGGTGCATCCCAGCCCTGACCTTTCCCACTTTGGCAAGCTGGCTCCTCTCTGCGCCTGGGCGTCCTCTGCCGGGTCGAGTGGCGTTGGTGGGAATGGAGGACTCAGTGCCCACAGACTGTTCAGAGCAGGCCTGGCACCCAGTGTGCCCTCCTGCTCACCGTAGATGTTTGTTTTCATGAGCGCGGGCCAGGCCCTGCAGGGAACAAGAAAACAAGGATCCCTGCCCCCATGCATCCTGCTCTCCACCGAGAGAACAATGAGGGAAATAAATAGCCAAATACAAAGGACCCAGAGGGTCAGTGCTATGGAGAAAGTAGTGATGTTACCGGGGGCGTGGGGCCTGCGTCCTGCAGGGCCTCTTGGAGGAGGTGATGCTTGAGCTGAGACCTGAGGGCGCAGGAGGCGGCAAGGCAAAGAAGGGCGGCGCGGCGGGGGGCAGCGGTTTGCTCCTCCTCCTTCTCCCCCAGGCCGGTGAGCAGCACCCTCACACTGGCTCCCCTCTCCTCTCCCCACAGGTGAAATCGAGGGCTTTCGCCTCAGCGCCCACTGCTCCTGTGACAGCAAAGATAACACACTCCATGTGGAAATCAACGGTGAGGCCCACCCCTCTGTTCTGGTGCCGCATGTGTGTGTGTGTGTGTGTGTGTGTGTGTGTGTGTGTGTGTTCCTCCCCCTGCCCATCCCTCCATTCACCATCTCAGAGTGTGTGTTTGTCTTCTCTTCCACCTGACCCCCCGACTCCCAAACTGAAACAGGAATCAGTGTTGGCCGCCGGGGTGACCTGGCCACCATTCACGGCATAAACCGGCCCTTCCTGCTTCTCATGGCCACCCCGCTGGAGAGAGCCCAGCACCTGCACAGCCCCCGGAACCGCCGGGCCCTGGACACCAACTACTGCTTCAGGTGAAGACCGAGGCGCTCCGGGCTGGGGGCATGGCCAGATGCCGGAGGGTGGGCGCCTGGCTGGTACTACACTTGGGCTGGCGTCTCCTTCAGCCTGGAAAGCTCAGGGGTTGAGGTTTGGGTCCTAGAATCAGGGGTGTGTGACCTGGGAGTCCCAGAATGTTGAGATCAGGGTGTTTTCTTGCTGGTGTGTAGGAATCAGGCTACTAGAATGTCGAACACTGAGAATGTGGGGGATTCAGTGTTGGAAGGTCTTCGATGTTATTGACAGGTTGGGGTCCTAGAGTGCTGGGGTTCTCGGATGCCAGAGTCCCGTGTTAATTATTGAAATCTGACGGGGTTGGACTCAAGAAGTGTCGATTCTAGAATTTGGGAATTCAGAATTTAGAAGGTTGCCCTTGTTAGATTCCTATACCTTGGACGGATTGGAGTCTCCAATGTTGGCAGATTGCAGGCCTCGAATCTTGGGCTCAGGGTGATCGAATCCTGTGTTAAAATACAGTGAAACCTCGGTTCTCGAACTCAGTTCATTCAGGAAGGCTATTTGAAAACCAAAGCAGTTTTTCCCATTAGAAATAATGTAAATTGAATTAATCTGTTTCAAACACTCAAATGATTCCCTGTTTTAACCTTTCTTATATACAGTACATGTCTAATGTACTGTTTAATCTATAAATAAACACTTTAAAAACAAAAAGGACATGAAATGTAAATGAAAATTTAACCACAAGGAAATGAAATGTACAGTAATAAATGAAAATTGAGTAATAATAATAGTAATAAGCAGCAACAGAAGCACAAAACACAAAAATATTTACAGCACAATTTCCTGAGATGTTAACAGCGGTAAACTGACTCATACTTGCGCATTCTTTCCTTGGTTTGTCGCATGAGAGACGCGTGGTTGATCACCCCGTTATCAGCGTGAAAGGGTTGTCAGGTCGAGAAGCAAATTGTTGAAATGGGAGCCGTTCGAAAACCGAGGTTTGATGCGTTCACAAATGAAGCGGGAGAAAGCCAGGTTATTGGTGTTTTAGAGTGTTGGGCTCTGTTGGAATGTTGCGTTCTTGGAAGGCTGGGGTGTTAGAAAGTGGCAGGTTGGCCCTCGAGTGATGGGCTCAGAACTGTGGAATGTTGGAATGCCGTATTGAAATATTGGAATTCAAGAATGCCAAGATCCTCGAGAGTTAGAATGTGGGACTCCTAGAAAGTTGGAAATGCTGTAGGCGTGTGGGAGTCTTGGGATGCTGGCGTATTGCAATCCAATGAAGTTGAAAAGTTGGATTTTTAGCATGTTAAAATTCAGAGTTAGGATGTGGCAAATTTAGAATGATAATCTGACCCTGTTCCTCCCCTGCTTAATATTGTAATGGTGCCTCTGGGCTTTGTCCCATGTTAGCCCCAGCTGGAAAGTCAGCTCTTTTCCCAAGTCCCTTCCAGATCCTACCCTCAGCCCAGCAACTCTGTGAATGAATGAACAGATTAAGGTCTTGAGTGCCAACATTATAAAGAGAGGCAGCCAGCCATGTGAGCCTCTGTTGAGAGGAATACAGTATCACCTGGGAAGTCTTGCGGTGGTGGTGGTGGTGGGGATTGGACCTGAAGCTGACCAAGTTGGTAGATCCAACTACCTATTTTCCAGAAATATTGGGATAGTGGAACGTGTTAAACACCACCACAGGTGTGCAATCAGCAACATCTAGACTGGAAAACCTGACTCAGTTTCTTTAACAAATACCATGCAGAGGCAGGAAAGACAGATGGTTTTTAGGTTTTATTATTTATTTACTTATTAAAAAAATTTTTTTTCTTTATTGATATATTAGAGAGACAGAGGAAGGGAGAGGGAGAGAGAGATGGAAACATCAATGAAAGAGAACATGGATTGGCTGCCTCCTGCATGCCCCCCACTGGGGATCAGTGCATGGGTCAACACTCAACTACTGAGCCACACCAGCCGGGCGGTTCTGTAGGTTTTAAAGAGAATCTCAAGAAATACATCAACTAACTGCAATGTGTAGACCTTATTTGGATCTCTGTACAGACTCAAAAAAGGAAAGATGTTTATGAGACAGTTGGGGCAATGTGAACTCTAGATATTTGATGATATCAAGAAATTCTTGTTAATTTTTCTGATGTGGTATTGTGGTTATGTTTTTAAATAGTCCTGAATTTCTTGGAGATGCATATGGAAATATTTATGGGTGAAAAGATACGGGGAGAGGAAGTGGGTAGGGGTAGAGATACGTGAGGTTGGCCGTGGCTTGCTGAGTGTTGACGCGGGGTGATGGAGACATGAGGGATCAGTGGAATATTCTCTGCTTTTGTGTATGTTTGAGGTTCAAATACCATCTTGTTCTTAGCTCAAACAACATCTCTATTGGGAAGCTTCCGTAACCCCTGCCTCAGCATCCACGGTGGCCCCTCAGCCTGCCCTGTGGGTTTCTTTTACCCATCAGGCCCTGTCGGGTCCTGAGGGACTAAATGGGAGAGAGCTGGGCAAGGGCCCGCAGGCCCCTGGGAGTAAGTGCCTCAGGGTCACTTGGAGGGCTTGTGAAACCTGGCCCGCTCTTCTGGGCGCCCACCACTATTTTTGGTTCAGGAGGTCTGGGTTCAGGTGAGGTCCAATAATTTGCATTCCCCACAAGTTCCCGGGTGATGCTGCTGCTGATCCTAGGACCCCACATGGAGAAGGGCTGAGTTGGATAATAGAATCACAGACTGTCCAAATCTTAGCACCTCAGAACCCCAGCGAGAATTGGACCACACATGCAAAGATGATCCTGGACAGTGGCTCTTCCACTTTTGTGAGTTCAGGACTCCCAAAGCCAGTAACCTTCCCGCTCCCGAAGTATGTGCGTACGGCTTGGGGGGGCTCAGGACCCTCCCGGAGCCCATACAAGACGTCCTGATATCTCCTTGGCCCTTGGGTTATCAACACCTTGTTTGATCCAACGTCTCCTCCATCTTCGATGGGGAAACTGAGCCCTAACCAGACTGTACAGGGACTGGCAGGGCTCAGAGCTCTCATTCCCTGACTCCCTTCTGAGGACTCTGTGGCTCGCAAGAAGGTCTTGCCCTAGGGGATCCCGTGTCATCGCCTCTTTCTCCTCTGCTTGAGCTGACACGGCTGTTGTGGGCAGATGAGGCCACAAGGTCTGGGGTGGCACAGAGTCAGCTGTGACTGGCCTCAGACCCCACCCTTACACACTATGTGAGCAGTCAACGTCCTTCTCCTGTGGGGCTCAGTTTCTCATCCTTCAAATGGGAATAATAATAATAAAACCATGCCTTGCAGGGTTTTGAAATTAATTGATGAATTCTCTTTAGATTACTATTCGTGTAGGTAAATACATGCACATGGACCAAACATAGAAAGGATTTCAGAGGCCCTCCAGCTCTGACCCCCTACCTGTCTCTGAAAAGGCAGCTACTTTTATTATATTTGTGTCTCCTTCCAAAGAGTATCTGCATGAGACACTTATACATATCCATATATGTTTTTATTTTGTCCAAATGGTAGAGTCTTATTTTGGGAGTTGTGAAGGAGCTGCATTCTCTTTCAATTTCTTTTTAAATTTTTTCTTTCTTTATTGATTTTTAGAGAGAGAGGAAGGGAGAGGGAGAGAGATAGAAACATCGATGAGAGAGAATATCGATTGGCCACCTCCTGCATGCCCCCCACTGGGGATTTGACCCACAACCTGGGCCTGTGCCCTGACTGGGAATCGAACTGGCGACCTCTTGGTGCATGGGTCGATGCTCAACCACTGAGCCACACTGGCTGGGCATTTTCTTTCAGTTTCTTTGCTGATTCTAAAAGTAACACATATCCACTGTTGAGAATTTGGAAAGGACAGAAGGATAGCACCCATCATACTACATATAAATGTCATAGTAATATAAAGTATATTACCCATCATACCATATACAAAAAGTCACTGTCAACATTTTAATATATTTCCTTCCAGTTGTTTTATGCCAAACAGAATTTGGATTATACCATACCTGGAACTTTGCATAGCGTTTCTTTCACATGCTATGAACATGGAATATAAAGCATTCTTGGCTGCCCCCGAGTCAAGCTTTTTAGCCAAGCTCCCTGCCCATCTCAGCCATGGCCCCAGGGGGCTGCACATTTAATTCCCAGGTCCTTTCAGACAAGCAGAAGCCTGGGCCCCAGCTTGGGAGGACTGGCCTTTGGATCTGAACATGGGACAGAGACCATGAATCCAGAAAGAGCATCTTATACTCCACTCTTCTCCAATGTGCTTTTTAAAAACCTAACACATTGAGCAATTAATTTATACCTCCAGTATTTGCATAGTACCAGCTGTATGCCAGGCACTGTTGTAGGGGACAAAACAGACCAAAAGTTCTGTCCTCAGAGGAAGGCAGATAAAGAAAATCAATCTCTAATAAATAAAGAGCAAGTGGCTATAAGTTCTTTTTTTTTTTAATCCTCACCCGAGGACATTTTTCAATTTTTTTGTTCAGATAGAGTGGGGAAGGAGAGAGAGAGAGAGAGAAACATTGATGTGAAAAGGACACATCGAGTGGTTGCCACCTGCATGACCCATCCAGGGCCAGGGACAAACTGCAACCGAGGTACGTGCCCTTAGCGGGAACCGAACCCGGGCCTCCCTGAACCGCAGGCCGACGCTCTACTGCTGAGCCAAACCGGCCGGGGCTTGTGGCTATAAGGTCTAAGAGGGAAAATAAATCAGAGAAAAGGCACAGGAAAAAAAAGAGATATTAGAGAGTATTTTTTCTGATCTGATTTTCATGATGAAAAACTTCAGATGTATATAAAAGTATAGTGTAATTAATGACTCTCATCCAGCTTCCACAGATTTAAAGATTTTTGTCCCACTTCAAGTACAGACATTTTTATGTTTTCTTGCATACCTGTAATGCTGTTGTTACACTGAATGGAATTGTCATTTGGATTGGTATTTTGGATAGGGTGGTCCAGGAAGGACACACTGAAGAGATGACATTCATTTGTTTAACTATGTACCGAGCACCTACTGCATGCCAGACAGTGTTCTAGGATTGAGGCTCCCTGAGTGAAGGACATCTGATTATACCTTTAAAGGAAGTGAAGAAAAAAGCCAGAGCAGATATCTGTGGGAATAGAAAGCCAGGCAGAGGCAACCGAAAGTGCAAAGGCCCTGGGGTGGGACTGCTTGAGGGAGAGTGAGGACACTAGTGTGGCTGGAGCAGAGTGAGAATGGAGAGGGAGTTGAGATTAGCCGGACTCAGTAGTGCCTTGTGGTTTGTGGTGAGCACTTCTGGCATTTGTCCCTAGGGAGACACAGCCATGTTGAGACCAGAGGAGCGACACCACAGTCTCTAGCATGTGGCCCCAGAGGGCAGGATTTCTGTCTCTTTTGTTTGTACTCAGTCCCCTGTAGATCCCAGCCCAGCACACACTAGGTCCATAAACATCCATAACACACAGAACATCAGTCCACATGGAGCTACACTGTTTTTATCTTCCAGTGGGTGGATGTGCCATGATTTACTTAGCTGTCCCCTGTGGATGGTCACCTGGCTTATTCCAGGCTGGCTTCGAGCATTGCATGAGACACTGTTTATGGCGATGCTCCTTGCACAGTGTTTGGCTAGAGGAAGTGCTTTATCAGTGTTGGCGGTTATCAGTACTGCGAGCCCGAGATGGAGCGGTGCTGGGGCAGGGTGAGCGCCCTCCCCCACACGCCCGTCCAGGGGAGGAGGGGCACGGCCGGCCCTTTCGGGCCCCTTGCCCTCCTGACCTGGGTTCCTCACCCGCGCCCGCAGCTCCACGGAGAAAAACTGCTGCGTGCGGCAGCTCTACATCGACTTCCGCAAGGACCTGGGCTGGAAATGGATCCACGAGCCCAAGGGCTACCACGCCAACTTCTGCCTGGGGCCCTGCCCCTACATTTGGAGCCTGGACACTCAGTACAGCAAGGTGCGCCTGGCCCGCGGGCCGGAGGTGGCGGGGACCCCGGGAAGGGAGGGGATGAAGTGAGGAGAGGAGGAGAAACAGACGGGGAGGCAGGAGGAGGGGTGACCAAGAGATGGGACGGAAGCCAGAGCCCCGTCTGCGCAGCTAGAGACGGGGAGAGAGGGGGTATCCGCGGGACCCGAGTTACTTGGAGGGGGAGAGGCGAGGCCATGGAAAGAGAAAGAACCCGAGAGACCAACAGAACGAGCGAGAGAAAGGCGGGGGGCACAGGCTGATACAGACGGGAAGATGGGAGGAGAAAGGGAGGTTGAGGTACAGCCTGGAGACGCAGAGACTGAGGTGAGCAGTGGGGAGAGGGCAGCGGCTGGCGGGGTGCAGGCGCTCTCCCCCGACCCCGGCCCTGATCGCCGCCCCCGCAGGTCCTGGCCCTGTACAACCAGCACAACCCGGGCGCGTCGGCGGCGCCGTGCTGCGTGCCGCAGGCGCTGGAGCCGCTGCCCATCGTGTACTACGTGGGCCGCAAGCCGAAGGTGGAGCAGCTGTCCAACATGATCGTGCGCTCCTGCAAGTGCAGCTGAGGCCCCGCCCGCAGGCCCGCCCCGCTGGCCCGCGCCTCGGACCCGGCCCGGCCCGCGCCGGGCTGTATTTAAGGACACCGGCCCCCAAGCCCGTCTCGGGGGCCCATTAAAGGTGGAGAGAGGACTGGGGTCTGTGTGTCATTGGGCGCCTGACAGGGTCTCTGTACCGACGTTCCCGGACTCCCGCTCCGTCTGCCACCTCCTCTGTCTCCACCATTCATTTGCTCCTCCTCAGACACCTAACCAAGCACGTCTTATGTTCCATGTACTCCTGGTCAACATTAGATTTATTTATTGAGCACTTTGGGCCTTGTTCTCAGTGCCTATGTTAATTAACTCATTCAATCACCATAACAACGCTCTTAGACTGTGGGCTCTAATAACACCCCCTTTAAAGGTGAGGAAATTGAAGCCCAGAGAGGTTAAGAGAATAGTTCCTGACTGCCAGGAACCGACGCACATGGTAAGTGGCATGAAGGCAGGAAAACAGGACAGAGAGAGAGATGGAGGAGGGAGGGCTTCTCGGAGGAGGTGGCATTTAGGACTTGAAGGCAGCTTGGGGAAGGATGAGGAAGAATGTTCTTGGTAGAAGGACCGATGAAAAGGCCTGGAAGTGAGGATGAACTTGGGGTGAGGGAGGGAGGAACCGAGGCCAGTGTGGTTGGAAGGGAGGGGACGGGTGTTGGGCGCTGAGTCAGATGGTAACACTCACAGACCAGAGAGTAATAACAATCCTCCATGCCAGGTATACATCCACCAGCTCCCTGCATTCTCCCCACAGCAAGCAGAGCAGGGTTTGCAAACCACGGCCTGCAGGCAAATTCTGATCTGCTGCCTGTTTCTGTAAATAAAGTTTTATTGGAGCACAGCCATGAATTGGATCGTCTCTGGCTGTTTTAGTGCCACAAGGGCAAAGTCTAGAAGAGACTATGCAAAGTAAAAAGTATTAGCTATGTAGCCCTTTATGGAAAAATCTTGCCAACTCCTGCTATAGAGACCACTTTACAGATGGGAACACTGAGACACGGAGAAGTTACTTGTTAGCTAACAAGCAGCAGAGCTGGGACTCGAACCAGGCAGCAGGAATTGGGGTCTCTGCACTGGTACTGCTTCCCAGACCACATCAGCCCCGTGGGATGTGGAAACCTGTGAGGACTTGTACCTGGGGAGGATGGGAGCCGTGACCGGACTCTGTATAGAGAGGGGTGTGATTTTACTTAGGTGCTCAGACAGCCCTCTGGGTGACGGGCGAGTAGACTGAAAGGGGGTGCAGGTGACTGCAGGGAGACCAGTGTTCCGGGCGAGAGACGCTGGTGCCCTTCGCCAGGGTGGGTTTACCTCTGGGCCATCTTTCTCCCCATCTGCATGGTCTTGCTTGTGAATTCTCCCCTGCTTCCTCTTTCTCCGGCTTCTTGGTTTCCCCTCCTCCCAGGTTTCAGTTCCCTCATCTGTCCCCTACCCTTCCCAAGTCCTGGGCCCTGAACTGCTGCCTTGCCCAGAGGTGCCCCCAGGGGGAGGGCTGTGTGAGTGAGAGGTCCCTTTGCCAGTGGGCAGCACTAGGTCTGGGTGAGTGGGCCCTGGGGTCCTCCCAGCCCAGCCCAGGGTGACAATGTGGTTACTCCTTCTGCTGCAGGTCTGGGAGCCACAGAGGGTGGGTGGGGTGGGGGCAGGAGGAGTTCACTGTGCAAGAAAATGCAGTCATTGTCACCGACCTGCTGTATGGAGACACTTGAAAGGACACGGTGACACGTTCTGTAGCCACTGCAGCCCCGTGAGGGTGCAGCTCATGTGCGCGCATTCACACATACAGGTCGAAGTGTGGGCAGCGTCCACAACCACGCAAACATTCATCTCGGGGCCACAGTGAACACCCCGAAACTCCTGCAGGACACCTGGCAGCAGGCACAGCCCGTGCGTGCCAGCCCGTTACATACACACAACCCAGCCAGGAGCTTCCCTGGGACCCAACACAAGCAGAGACGTCAGTAGGGGCACAGCAAAACACACCCACACAGATACATTCTGCAGGGTCACGGTCACAACCACCACACACCAGACAGACTCAGAGCCGGTGCCACACACAGACACACACCTCACAGAATAAGGAAATGAAGCAGAGGCTCTGGCAGGGCCACCAGCAGCTACACAAACATCCTCTGTGGACAGGGTCACAGTCACAAACAGGCGCAGTGCACACGCACAGGACCTGACACGTCATGGCCCCACCCAGACACACACCACACACGGAGCTCTGACACGTCACGGTCGCACAGGCCGCTAGGTGGTCGTGCCCACTCAGTCTGACATTTCAGGCTCCACACACTCAGGCCGGGGAGTCCCACGCGGCCCTGCGGACAGCAGCCAGACACTGTCACACCCCGGATCCCAGACGGAGCAGTCCCACACACCCAGACACACCCCCGGGGTCGAGGCCCTCACACGCCCAGCTCGTGCCTGGGCCCCAGGACAAGTCCTGGCTGCACCCTAGGGACTCACTCACACTCCGGTGCCCAGCCCTGGCCCCTCCCTCGAGACACACCCCGCCCACCTGCCTGCTGCCAGGGGAGGAAACTTGCGGGCTCAGCACCTTCCCGCCACGTGAGCGCGGCTCCTGCCCCCACCCTCCTTGCCAGGGTGGCCAGGCCCCCAGCCAAATGCAGGGACAGGACCGGGGGTTCAGGGCGCCCTGCTTCCCTCCCCCACCTGCGCCGGCAGCCCGGTGTGGGGAGGGAAGTCGTGGGGGGAGCCTGGGTTCCTGCTGGAGCCCCAGCTTCCTATCCAGCCCCCACAGGGCAGGAAGCAGGGCCAGGGGAGGCCTTCCTGCCCCCTCCCCCGACAGGCCTGGGACGGGTCAGTGGTAAGAGACAGACATACAGCCCCCTAAATCTCTGGACATCGCGCGCGTGTCTAATGTCAATTCTGGTCGGGATCCCTTTGTGTGTGTGTCCCCAAGCTTTGTGCTGTGAGTTGTGTGTGTCTAGCATGGGGTTCTGTAACAGCAGCGGGGTGCCAGCAGGTTGTGTTGGGTGTCACGGGGGATTTTCGAGGTGTGTGTATTCCCAGCAGCATTCAGTTCTGTGGGTCGTGCAGCCCTGTTCCTGGCGTGTGCAGCCGCTGTGAATGTCAGTGTGCTCTCTGGGCTCTGTCCTGACACGTGTGACTCGGGAGGTCTGCATACAAGAGGGTCCTATGCCTGAGGTGTGTTGTGTGTCTGCATTTTTAAAAACATGTCTGCTGCTCTCTGGGTGTGAGTTGGTGCACCTTCAGTGTCAGTTTGACTTGAAATGTGGGTGTTTGTGTATGTGGGGGCCTGTGAAGTCCCCAATGTCTGCGAGTGTGCTGTATGTGAACAGTGTGTGCGCTGCTGGTGTTCTGAGCGTGTTGTGTCCACGGGGTGCATCTCCACCATACTGGCTGTTGTTCTATGGGTGTGAGTGTGCCCATCTCGGGGACTGGTCTCCGCCTCTGTGGGTGTCTGAGCAGGTGGCATCTGTACTGTAGCCCCATGTGTGGGCTGGTGGCTTCAGTGTGTGAGCAGTTGTGGGGCTTCTACTCTGCATCGCCTTTAAGGGCACTTGGAGTCTCCGTGGGATGTGTGTGTTCACGAGCGTCTGTGCCGGTGTTTCCAGGGAGGGGAGGACCGTGCGTCCTCAGTGAGGCGCTGGCATCTGGGCAAGAGGCCCAGTGGCCTCTGTGCTGAGTGGAGGCTGCATCTGCGGCATGTCCCCTTGCCGGCTGGTGCCACGTTGGCTCGGGCTGGCTGTGGCGGGCAGGGCAGGGCAGGGGCTGCGGTGGGCACTGGACCTGAGCCCGGCCCTCGGTATAAATATCCCAGGCTGCCGGCGGCAGTGTTTACTCTGTCCCAGCCCGGGGGTGGCGGCAGCCCAGCAGGTCCTGGGGGCCGGTTGGGGGGTGGGGTGACCAGGCCACAGCAGACACTTCCTTCTGGCCAGACAGGCCGCAACCTCGCTGCCCCTTCACGCCCCCCTTCTGGGTGGGAGTTACCCCTCATTCTGGGCTCCCAGGAGCCAGCAGTGAACCTCTAACCTGGATATTCCCTTCTGGGCTTCCCAGGGCTTGGGAGCCAGAGAAGAGGGGACAGAGATCGACTGGGGGCAGGGGGGCCACGCCAAGAGACAGCGGGGAGAGGGATAGGAAAAACTGAGGGCCAAGAGGAGCAGGAGTGACGGAGGGGAGGGGGGGCCCCCGACAGAAAGGCAGGGGAAACGGGGTCACGAGATGGACGGACAGAAGCTCAGGCCTGTGATGCAGGGAGCGAGGGAGGGAGACGAGGCAGAGGCCCAGGAAGAACCCGAGGCAGAGAAGGGACCGAGGGTAGTGATAATCAGAGGTGTAGACAGAATGAGTGGTGGAGAGGAGGGTGGGAGGCAGAGGAAGGAGAAGCAGGGGAAGTGTGTAGAGTCCGGTCAGCTTTGGCAGGACACAGAGGTGTCAGACGTGGGGGGTGGGGGTGGCGGCCAGGATAGACAGGAGACTGGGGGTGGGGGCCGGATGGCCACTGAGGGGCTCTCCCCCTGCAGGGCCCTCCCTCCCTGACTCAGCCTCTCCACACCCCCAACCTCAGACCTGGGAGCTAGGGACAGGCCACAGGGACACCTCCAGGTCTCAGCTGCCCAGGATGTGACCTTTGTGATGTGTCTCTCCATCCCTCTTGACCAGCTCCACCTCCTCCTCAGCTACAGACGCTCCTGTCTCCACCATCTGACTCACCCTAATTCTTATTCAACAACCATGTTCTTTAAAAAATAAAACAAATTTATGGCAAAATAGATCACAAATTTAATGATCAAATGACTGGTGAAAATGTGCACTGTGGTCTGATGCCTGGACACGAGCACACTCACAACCTGGACCTAAGTCCAAGTACCGGGAAGACATGTCTCTGCCGGGTCAGCCTGGCTGGTGGCCCTGGGTCTCCCCTGCCTGGGAGGCGGGTTATCACCATCGCCAGCATGAGGTGCACAGGACCCTGTGATGGCTGCAGTTCGAATACTGACTTCCCCATCACCATGATTCAGTGACGTATGGAGGATGGTGCCTGATGCTAGAGGAGACCCCGGAAGTGTTAGCTGCCATCACCATCCACAGCTACCCCATCCCGCCTTCCCATCTGCACACCTGTCCACTGAGTGGCCCGACAGCTGACAGGCAGGCCGGTGGAGAGCTCGCTAGGACTTGTGGTTCCAGACCTGTTTCTGTCCGACGGCTGCCCTCCTTCCTGGGCCTCCCGTGCCCTGTCTACGAGCACAGTCCCTAGTTCCCGGGGATGTCTGAAGGGTTCAGTGCATCAGGCACCTCGCTCGGGCCTGGCACAGAATAGAACTACTCAGAAACCAGAACTTTCCTTTTTTAAGTCTCATTGAACAGCTAGAATGTCTCTTGGCACCCATCCAGCTCTCACTTTCTGTGTCTGGCTCTAATTCTGGTTGACCCAGAGGGCAGAGCTGAGGCCTGGGGGGTCAAGAGCCATGGCCCCAGGAGGCCCTGAGGTCTCTGCTCACTCTGGACCATATGCCCCGAGGCAGCGTGGAGGCCCCTCCAGGCCGGGCTGTAAGGGTACCCCCACTCCTGTGCGCAGGCCCGAGGCCCCCAGGCCCCACCTCCCTGACCCTTGGCTGTGTCCTCCAGCAGACAACCCTTTTCCGTGTGTCTACTGGGGGAGCATGAGCTGGGTGTGGGGGCATGGGAAGGCGGGATGCCTGGGTTCCCACAGGCCAGTAGCTGAGTCACCAGGCGGCCATCTGGCTCCCATTAGCCCAGGGAGGCAGGGGGTTCTGTGGGGCGGGCCCTGTGGCTGGCTGGGGGCAGAGACGAGGGGCAGCTTGTGTGTGGGATGACTCAGGACCCATGATAACAGCCTGTGCGTATTTGGGGAGTGTAAACAGGAGGGAGAGGGAGGCAGAGGAAGTGAAGGAAGGGAAAATTGTGGCTGGGCAGAGGGGGGCCATGGGCTGGGAGGGGAGAGTCCCCCTCCCCCACACCCAAGCAGGCAGGCCCATGATACCCAGTGCTGCCCCTGCCCACCCCGCTCAGGCCTGGGTCCCAATGGAGAGGTGATGGCTGTGACCATCTCTGTGGCCTCCACACCCACCGCCCCTGCAGTGAGGCCACACTCAGCGGCCAGACGGATGTCACTGAAACCAGAGATAAAGGCTGAGGCAGAGACAGCACAGAGGCTGAGACATGAAATGGACAGCAGGAAAAACCACAGGTCCGCAAGGCCGAAGGAGGGGGACACAGAGGCAAGGAGAGCTCGGCACAAACGGGACGGGTGAATGAGACACGGGCCAGGAGGGGAGACAACGAACCGCTCAGGGGCCCAGAAACAGCCCGACCCCAAGCTGCCAGTGTCGACCTGGCTGGCTCCGTCTACAAAGGGCCCTGCTGGCCTTGGTCAAAGGGAGGACAGTCACCCTGTTGTGGGGACAGAGGCCAAGGCACAGAGTGAAGAGGCAAACAGGAAGGCAGAGGAAAAGGAGGCTGAGGTGGAGAGAGGGAGACACAGAAAGGAGACGGAAAGGCAGGGAGAAAAAGAGACCAAAGACAGAAAGAAACCCGGAGAAACAGCAGTGAAGACAAGGAAGCAGGGCTGGGTTGGGGGGAGGCAGGGCACCGCAGACACAGCGGGAGGGCAGTCTGAGATGGCCCGGGCCCTGTGAGGCTGGTGGTGTGGGAGCCGGCCGGCCCCTGGAGAAAGTCTCGGAGCCAGCCTTTGACCAGCCGCCTGGCTTCAGTGGGGGCAGAGCGGGTGGCCGGGCCATCAGTCCCCGTCTAGCTCCGGGCTAGGCGCATCCTCAGGCTCCTCCTCATCGAAGTACCTCTCCTCCTCGTCCCGGGCCACAATGTCCAGGTTGTCGAAGTCAGGGTTATCGTCCACGGTGCTGCAGAGGGAGTGGCTGTCAGAGGCTGGCTCTGCCTGGGGCCGTCCCCATCTCTGCTCTTCACCCTTTGGAGAAGCTGGGGACATGGCTGAAGCCCCCTGAGGTCAAAAGCCATGTGCTGGCAGCTCTAAGTCCCAGCCAACCCTTGGAGGGGCATGTTGGGTCTCTCAGGGCTTCAAACAAAAGGCAACATTTTCCAAGTGAAGGCTTTGTCCCCCCAGAGGACATCTGGTGATAACTGGAGACATTGGTTGTCTCAACCGGGGGGCTGCTGCTGGCACTTAGTGGGTGGAGGCCAGGGTGGTGCACACAGGATAGCCCCACACACAAAGAATGATGCTGCTCAAAGTGCTGAGGCCCAGAACTGCACCAAGGTGGCCAGAGATCCTGAAATGGAGGAGCCTGGCTCCGCTCCAGATCCTCCCCCAGCTCCAGGCAAGCTTACTCCCAAGCCTCGTGCCACTGCAGGGCTCTTGCATCCGCTGTCCCCCTGCCAGGAGCAGTCTTCCCCCAGACACCTGTCCCCTACCTCTCACCTGCTGCAGGGGTCTGCTCAGAGAGCCTTCCCCGGCCACCTTGCCGTCTGCCCCTTCCTTTTTCCTCATGGACCATCACCACTAAAGGCATGGGGCTGGTTTCCCTCACTACGGCGGGACCCCTTCAGGGCAGGGAGCCCTGTCATCGGTTTTGTTCCCTGCTTTATCCCCAGAGCCTGGACCCGCAGGCACGCGGCAGGAGGTGGCTGAATGCCACAAGGGACCCTACGGCTCTGCTGCCCAGCAGCGCCCTCTGGAGAGGGGAGAGGCTTCGGTCCCCACCATGCCCCACTTCTCATGCCAGGCCCGGGTTCCTGGTGGGTTTTACGACGGCAATGGTGCCCTCACTGAGGGCTCCCATGGCCCGGGCCTTCGCTCGCTGCTCTGCGGGCACTCAGGCTGCAAGGCTGGCCTCGGCTGGCAGTGGATCAGCTGGACCGGACTCCAGAGGTGGGTATCCAGCTCGAGAGTGATGCTGTCCCCGGGCTATGCTTGGGCCAAGGCTGCCGTGATCCCCATCCTGCTGATGTGCCCCCAAAGGTCTGCTTGCTCACATGGCATCAGAGCCGGGACTGAAACCTGGGCCCTCTGCTGCCACGCCGGTGCTCGGACCAAGGAGAGGCTGCCTCAGCCGACAAACTGCTTATCTTTGATTCTGCTACTTCGCTGTGTCCTCCCTGATGCCAAAATTCTTTTCAAAGCAGTGGTCCATGTGTCTTGCCCCTGGGGTTATACTGAAGAAATTACCCACCAACACTGCAAGGGCACCCACCACAGGCCCTGCCCTGCCACACATCAGGGATTACTTCCTGTAGCGTGAAGAGGTGTGGGGTCCTGGAGGGGACACTTGGGAGGCCTGGGGGTAGTGGCATCCTGCCAGGTAACCCCACTTGCCAGACTGGAAATGTTTCAATGTTTCATCAACATTGAGCTGAATGTCCGCCCTGCTCATTTCCTCCTGACATTCAGGGAGAGGACTGAGCTCTCAGATGGCCAGAGCGAGTTCAAGGTCACCCACTCTCTCTGGCTGACCTGAACCTCAAGGCTGTCTGACCCAGGACCCAAGACCTGGAACTGTTCCAGGGCTTTCTAGCACCACGAAGGGAGGCCCTCCATGGAGGTACCTGGGATCTGGCACGCAGCCGAGGGCTGGGGGGTATGGGTGCAGGTGGGGGATGGGAGGCAGGGGCACCGAGCACCTGTAGTCGAAATCCCCATCCTTGCCGTCCAGGAAGTGCTGGTGCATCCGGCTGGTGAACTCTTCCCGCAAGATCAGCCTCTCCTCTGAGTCGGGCACCCAGGCCTCGGAGTCTTGGCCAGGGCTCTGGTCTGTGGAGACACCCACAGTGCAGGACTGTGAGGGGTACACTCAAGCAGGCACTGAACACAGTCCAGGGAGCTGCTTCCTCCGTGCTGGGTGGACTGGGGACACAGCAGTGACCAGAAAGGCCGCAGGCCCGGTCTCCCCAGAGCACACACGAAGCACATGACAACCAGTGCTCCCGGGGCTGCAGAGCAGGGTCAGGACTAGACGCCTGAAGGGTGGAGAAGGGAAGGCATTCTTGGCAGAGGGAAGGACAGGAGCAAAGGCCTAGAGGCAAGGGACCACTTGGTGCTTTGGAGGAGTGGGGACAGAGATGCTGCAGAGGCTGGGAAGGGCCAGGCCACACAGAACACTCAGGTTGGACAGGGGAGGGACTTAATGTCAGCCTGGTGCCATGGGGACCCAGGACTATGGAGTCTGGATGCCGGCCCCCTTCTGCTGGCCCTCACCTTCATTGTCACTGCCTTCCTCCTCCTCCTCCTCCTCCAGGCAGGCCTCTTCCTCCTCCTGCTGGCGGAGCAGCCGTTGCTGCAGCTCCCGCTCCTGGTAGGACTGGAGCAGCAGGTCAGAGAGTGGGCAAGCGGGCGTGCCAGGGGAGCCCGGCTTGGGTGGCTGGTGGGCCGGGGCACGGGCACTGAGCTCCTCCTGAGTTAGGTACTGGCCGATGTACTGCTCGTATAGCAGTGGGGCCCGGAACCGCATCTGTTCGTCACTGAAGTACTCGCCCCCTGCAGAGACAGGGTGCGGTCAGGAGCCTGTGGACAAGGCCAGGGACTGCACGCAGGATGAGGGTGTCTGAGCAGACATGTGTCCATGCGTGTGTGTGATCATGCTGGTAGGAAAACATGGACGCATAAGTGCAAGGGTTAGCTCCTCGGTCTGTGGACCAAAGAGTTGCGGGTTCAATTCCGATCAAGGGCATGAACCTTCACTGTGGTTCAATTCCTGGCCCTGGTCAGGGTCATGGAGGAGGCAGCCAGTTGTCTATCTTTCCTTCCCTCCCTCCTTCCCTCCCACTCTATATGAAAACCAATGGAAAAATATCCTCAGGTGAGGATTTAAAAAAACAAACGAGGAAAATATGCAGATACCTGAGGTCCTGTGCAGTGCTCATGCACACATCTGAGCCCATGTGCATGCCCAGGCCTGTATCTGCCCTGTGTCTGCACGTGGACTCACGTGTCCAAGTCAGCCCCATGGACATCCTGCTCCTGAGGCACTGGTGGCCTGGGGCCGGTGGACAACGTGCCTGGGCAGGACTCACAAGCTCCTGCCCACATCTTCCCGTGGGTGCCAGCACCCTGCCACGGGTACCTATGCGACGAGTCGGCTGCAGGCAGATGTGCAGTTTCCCGGCTGAGTGTGCCTGTCCGCCGAGCCCCATTCTGGCTGTCGGTGCACACACCTGGCCACGTGAAGTGCACATCTGTCTGGAGTGGCCATGTGTGTGCACCGATCAGGTAGGACAGGGCCTCTGCCCAGGTGTAGTGCTCCTGGTGGCCTTCCAGACCCCAGACCTCACCTCCTTCCAGTGCTCCTCCCCACAGCCACGGCCCAGGTGGGCCTGGCATCCCCACCACCCCAAACCCGGGCCATTTGCATCTCTCCTGGCTGCCTGTTCCTGCAGGGGCAGCTCTGTGCCTCAGATAACAGTTAAACTGAGCCTGGTCCCTCCCACCCACTGGTCCTAGCCCTACCTTCAGAGCCCAGGGCGGGAATCTGCCCGAATCCTGGCCTCTGGAGCACGAGGGTGTGACCGTCCCTGTCCTGCCTTCCATCTTGCCCTCTCTTACCCCTGGCTTTTGTTTCCCACCAGATTCTGTCTCTCCCTTTTTCCTGGCTGTGCATCCCCTGTCTGGGTCTCAGTTTCTCCCTCTCCTCTGACCTGTTTGTCACCTAACCCGCTCATTCATTCTCTCCCGTCTTCACTTCGCTCCTCATCCGTCGTGTCCCCTCCTTCCCATCACCCTCAGCAGTGCCTCTGCCCGAACCAGAACTTCACGCACTCTGCTTCATTTGCTCTCATCTTTTACCTTCAGTTCTGGTGTCTTTGGTCACAAAAACACTTGTCACGCCACAAACAGGTATTGATGTTTTCCTTCATGCTTTCACGTGTGTCTATTTGAGAGGGCCTCTGTGTGCCCAGAGTCATAAACACGCTCCCGTTTCCAGCCATGCCTTGGTGTCCGGTGTGAGGGAGGGACCTGATTTTCCTGACGGATAACCAGTTATCACGGCGCTGGGCACCATGTCCTCGGCCCACAGATCTGAAATGGTACTTCGGTCACTCCCCTCCCCTCCCCTGGGTCTCCATTTGTCTACTCTGCCCATATCGCCCCTCACTTCACACTGGTGTCTCTCCGTGTCCCTGTCTCAACACTTATCTCCCAAGATCTGTTTCTGCTCTTACACTGTTTTTATTTGCTCTGCCTCAGTTTCCCCTCCTATCCTGCCCATTTCCCCCACACCTTGAATGAGCTCACGCAGGGCAGCATAGCGCCGGTTACGCAGGCGGGTGCGCAGGGTGCGGGGTCGGGCGGTGCCCTGCCGGGCCACCTCGGCACAGTAGAAGTCTGCACGGTGGTCACCACGCAAGTGGCCAAAGCAGGTCAGGTGCTCCTCACGAAGGCCCGTTCGGAAACGTTCCAGAAACACCAGTGGCTTCTCGTGGTACAGCTGGCCCAGGATGGCCACCTTCTCCTGCTCGGTCAGGTCAGGCTCCCCTTGCTGCTGGCTGCACACAGGCAGGCGGCTGGCAGCCACGGCACGCAGCATAGCACTCACGGCCGCACTCTCGGCCCCAGGGGCGTCACTGTCCAGGGCCCCTGGCACGCCCTCTGCTGCTTCCACCTTGTCCAGGGGTCTAGATGGGACTGGCATCCAGCTTAGCTCCCCCCAGTGCCCAGAACTGGGCTCTGTGCAGCCTGTGGGGGGAGAGCAGATTTCTTATTCCAGGGATGGGAATGGGGAAGCGGGGAGTGGTTGGGAAGGACTGGGTGCTCAGTCCTTCGCTCACTTCACATTTATTGAGCACCTACTATAATCTGGGCACTGTGTTAGGCATTAGAGATACCACAATAAACAAGAAGTCGATATTTTAGTGGGGGGGGGGCACAGATAATTAAACATATAATTAGTAAAAACATATAGTGTGTTAGAAAATACACAGTGTGTTTGGTGGTTGTAAGAGCTTTGCAAAAAAATACAGAGGGATGGAGGAGGGATTGGTTGGGGGTGGGAGGATTGCAATTTTAAGACAGAGAAAGCTTGCCAAAAAAGTGACATTTTAGTAGAATCCTAAGTTGGTGAGGGACTGAACCATGACATTTCTGAGGGAGACGAGCTCCAGGCAGAGGGAACAGCCAGTGCAAAGGTGCAAAGGCCCTGAGGCAGGAGTACACTTGGTGTGGTTATGTGGTCCTTTATCACCTCATTCAATGATTCACTCAATTCTTTGCCTTGTCATCTGTTCAGGAAATTTAATACATTCACTAACTTGTTCACTCATTTATTCATTCTCTGCTACTCATTTAACAATTCATCTGAACACTTTCAGCAACTCTTAATCTATTCAAGGCTCTGAGCTGGGTAATGCTAAGGAGCCGCAGGAAGAATCCAATCCAGCTCCAGCCCCCCAAAGCACCCAGTTGATGGGGGAATAGGCAAGATCAAAGACAGTACAGGTGCTGGGAAGAGGAAAGCTGAGCGCTAGGCAAACCTTGGTGAGAGCTGCCTCTCAAAGTGATAGGAACTGGAGCTAGGCTGTATCAAGTAGGAGCTAAGTGAAGACAAAAAATACAGACTTTTTGCCCTGGCTGGTGTGGCTCAGTTGGTCAGGCATCATCCTATGCACCAAAAAGGTTGCCGCTTCGATTCCCAGTCAGGGCACATGCCTGGATTTCGGGCTGGTGTGCAAGAGAGAGCCTATCAATGTTATGCTCTTACACTGTTTTTCTCTTCTCCCTTCCTCTCTCTTTAAAAATCAATAAACTACTCTTAAAAAAAAAAAGGAAAAGAAAAAAAGAGCCCTGGCTGGTTTGGCTCAGCGGTTGGAGCGTTGGCCCGAGGACCAGGGGTTGTGGGTTTGATACCTGGTCAAGGGCACGTAGCTGGGTTGCACATTCAATCCTGGCCCTGGTCTGGGTCATGTAGGAGGCAACCAATCGATGTGTCTCTCTCAAATCGATGTTCCTCTCTCTGACTCTTTCTCCCCTCCCTCCCTCCCTCCCTCCCTCCCTCCCTCCCTAAGATGGAAAAAGATCTTCAGGTAAGGATTAACAAAAAAAAAAAAAGTATAGACAACTCCTACAGGTAGCTTGGCTGGGATAGAGAAGATTAAAGGGGTGATGTTACAGGTGCATGGGTTTCAGGAAGGTTTTTTTTTTTTAAATAATTTTATTTATTGACCTGAATGAGAGAGAGAGATGGAGGAGGAGAAAGAGAAACACTGATTTGTTGTTCCACTTTTTTTTCTTTCCTCTCCTGAGGACATTTTTCTATTTATCTTGAGAGAGGGAGAGGGAGTGAGAAACATCGACATGAGAGGGACACATTGACTGGCTGCCTCCTGCACAACCAAAACCAGGGCTAGGGACAAACCGCAACCAAGGTACGTGCCCTTGACAAGAATGGAAGCCATGATTAATTGATCTACAGGCCGATGCTCTAACCACTGAGCCAAACCTGCCAGGGCTGTTGTTCCACTTTTTATGCATTCATTGGTTGCTTCTTGTATGTGCCCTGACTGGAGATTGAACCTACAACCTTGGCGTATCAGGAAGATGTTCTAATCAACTGAGCTACCTGGCCAAGGCTCAGGGAGGGTTTTAATTACTGGCAATGGAAGACTGAGCTGGACCAGGGCAAGGGCTGTGGAGGAGGGGTCAGGAGAGGTGGTGGTTAGAAAGATGTCTGGGAGGCCAAGTAGACAAGCCAGACGAAGGGCTAGAGGTGGGGGAGGCATCCAGTTAAGATCTAGGGCTCTAGCACCTGGACTAGTCAAACTGTGCCTGAGACAAAGACATGGACTAGGAGCAGGTTTGAGGGAAGATGCTGAAGCCAGTTTGGGACATGGAAGGTATAATGAAACCGACGGACACCCAAGGGGAGGCATCTGAGAGACCGCTGGTACATGGGACTAGAGCCTTCTCAGGAGAGAAGCGCTGGGCTGGGGACAGAGTTGTGGGGGGTTACAGAGCCAAGACAACAAGTAAAGCTGAAGGAAATGAGAGCTCATGGAGGGAAGGTGCGTGTGAGGGACAAGAAAAGAGGAGCTAGGAAGAGCCCTGACTGGGGAGAAGATATGCCTGTGGAAGGCTAAAAATGGTCCTCCAAAAGATAACCATGTCTTAGTTCCTGGAACCTGTGAATGTTACCTTATATAGCCAACGACACCACCACCACATAGGATCTTTCCAGATGTAAGCATCTCGAGATAGGGAGATTATCTTGCATTATCGAGGTGGACCCTAAATGCTATCACTAGTGTCCTATGAGACAGCTCAAGATCTGACATACACGCAGAGGAGATGGCAACGTGAAGAGAGATGGAAGCAGAGATTGGAGTGATGTGGCCACAATCCAAGGAATGCCAGGAGCTCCCAGAAGGTGGAAGAGGCAAGGAATGGGTTCTCCCCTAGAGCCTTTGAGGGTGCTGACACCTAGACACCAGCCCAGAGACACTGGTTTCAGACTCTGGCCTCCAGAGCTGTGAGGGAATAAATTTATGTTGCTTAAAAGCACCCAGCTTGTGGTCATTTGCTACAGCAGTCATGGAAACTAACAGAGGCTGAGCTTGAGGGAGAGGAAGGAAATCAAAAAGAAGGGTGCCAGAGAAACCAAGGGAAAACTTTAAAGAAGGACGGAGGGGTCAATGGCACTGCATTCTCCATGTCCTCTAGTAGAAAAAAGTGGAATGGGGTGACACAGGGAAATCACTGGAGACCGAACCAGAGCAGGTAAAAGCCCGACTGCAGTGGGTGGGAGGTGAAGGAATGGAAACAAGTATGGATGACTCTGGAAAAGATAGATGGTTTCTAGAAGGCAGCATGGGATAAAGGGCCAGATATTCTTTATAGGTTACAAAATATATATTTTTTATTATGGAAAATTTTAAACATGCATAAAGGGGCAGGAGGATGGTTAGTCCAGGGAAAAGGAAGGGTCAGCTTGACAAAATGAGGGCGGTAAACTTGAGAAGCAGGGTGGTTGAGACAATGGTGGAGGAAGCCCGGGTCAGGGAAGAGGTTTACATTAACCTGAAAAGTAGCCTGGTGAAAACGTAGGTTAGACTGGGGCACGGAAACGGCTGGCCTGGCACGTGGAAGAGGTTAATTTCGAGGAAAGGGATGGAGTAAAGGACGTCAGCCCGCAGAGAGGGGTTAATCTGCATGAAGTGGTTAAGGAACAGGTAAGGCCGCGGGCAGGTGTTCCCCTAAAAAGAGTCCTCCTTCGCGCTCCGGGAATCATTTCCCAAAGACGCCGCAGCCCCATCCCCCCGCCGCCTGGACCTCACCTTCGTCGGGCTCCCTCGCCGCCGTCGCCACAGCCTCCATCCTGATTTTGTATGCTTATTAACCGCCGCAGTAGGTTCCGCACACTAAACCCAGCCCCAGGTCCTTAGCGACCACTTCCGGCTGAGCACAGTACCGGTTGGCCGATGCTCCGCTGTGCCCAGAACCTAAGTTCCGGCCCGAAGGCGGAACTCCCTATGCGCATGCGTGCCTCCCACAGGTCCCACCCTCCGTAGCCAGGAAGGAAAAAGGCGCCAGGGTCAGAGAGGCCCTTCCGTTCCGTTCTCCCCCATACAAAGTTGGGAGTATAGGGGGGAGGTGAACCATTGCTCAATTGGTTCACTGCCGTGGCTTGAGACCAGGATGCTTCTTTGGGATGGATGGATGGCTGAGTAAGCAACACTTCAGGGCCTTAAAGGGTCTGTGCTTTAGCTATTCCTTCACTTAAAAGAATATTTACTAAGCCACGTCTCTTGTTCTGTCATCACACCTGGTGAAGACTGGGGCAATTTCTGCAGATGTGGAGAAAACTGATTTGTCTTAGGTATGAGCTCATAGTCAGGTGTGTTGCCAAGAGCAGACAGACATATCACCAGTGACTACCCTGTGTGGCCAAGGAAGGCTGCTTTTGGGAGGAGGGGACATCCAAACTGAGACCTGAAAGATGAATTAGGACGAGGAAGGGAGGTAGGGAAGTGTCTCAGGCAGAGGAATGGATGAGACAAAGATCCAGAGGGGAGAACATACAATTTGTTGTAAGCACTTTGTATGGCCCGGGAGTAGGAAGAGTTCTAACTCAAAGACCTTGATTGGGCTGCTGAGGATTGAGAACCTCACTCATCTTTTTGCAAAATTCCACATACATATAAATTTGGCTCATGGCATTTATAGATATGTGTGTGTGTGGTACGTGCCCCTAGCAGGAACCGAACCTAGGACTCTGGTCCGCAGGCCAATCAATGCTCAACCGCTAAGCCAAACTGGTCAGGGCATTTATAGACTCTTAAAGGGACTTGTGACTCCCCCAGAACAAGCCACTGATCCAAAGTTCAAAGGGGGAGCAGCAAAAGATGAAGCCAGCGAGGTCATCAAGGGCCAGGAATGATGCCTCATAGGCCATATTAAGTACCCGAGCTCCTTTATATCCTGTAGGGAAGGGGCAGGTGGTCCCAGAGTAAGGGGCTGCAGGTAAAGGAGATCTATGAGGAGTCTGGTACAGTAATCCAGGCACTGGACAGGAGCAGTCTGCATTCCCAGGACATTCCCCACACAGGATAGGTGGGGACTACACTTAAACTTATCACCTGGAGGCCAGCAGAGGGAGCTGTTGCCCAACACATGGTTCAGAGTTGGCAAGGGGATAGAAGACTGGAGGCCCTCCCTGAATAGGGAGAGGGGCACTTACTCTAGAATCCTTTTTAGTCCAATAGCCACTAACCTTGGCTCCTTACATTCAGATGTCCCACCTTGACCTCAAAACGAGTCAGCCTTTCTCCTTTCTGTAGCCTGTGAGGCTGAAAGGATGGGGCTGAACTGGCCATTCTTGTGCTCCAGTACTGCCCCTCACAAAGGGCCAGGAGCACAGCATGTCCAGAGGAATGAAGAAATTACTCAAGTTATGGGGGAAGGAGGATGAGAAGCTGTGGGAATGCAATCAGAATGTCCTTTACTCTGGCTAAAAATATTCTCCCCTTCTCTAAGAAGCCCTCACCACACCCCACACCCCAAGCTCTCATGGCTGTCCACTTAGTACTATCCCCATTTAATGACAGCTTCATGTTACCTCTGGACCAGGAGGTCTGGGAGGGCAGGGTCCAGGACTGCCTTGGTCATATTGTGTCCCACAGTATCATCCAGACTGGGTGAGGAACAGAACAAGTACCTAACCTATTGGCTGGATAAAGAAACTCCTGGAATCTCCGCTAGACTGGACCCAGATGCACAGGCAGGAACTATCCGAAGTCCAGCTCACAGGCCAGGCCTGAGGTAGATGAGCAGTCACACCCACTGATGACCCTCAAGAATCCAGTCCTGGTCCCCACCCTATTGGCCCTACTTAGACTCCACACCTAGGAACCTGGTTCCATGCCTTCTAAACAAATTCTTGGAGATTTGGTACTGAGAGGAATGGAAAGGGCAGGGACCAAATAACCACTTCAAAAACGAACTAGTGGGTTTTAAACTGAGGGCCCCAGGTTTAAGGGGGCACCCCAGCACCAAAAACAGGGCCAGGCACAAATCCCTCAATAAGTATTTAATGAATAAGTAAATAATGTCCCCTTGAAAAAGCCCCCAACCCCAATTAAAGGCCAATTGCAGTAACAGTTCAAGGTTTCAACCCTTCTTCCTTCCTGCTAGGAAGTGCCATGTCATTTATTGAAAGAAAACAAAACAAAATAGGGCAAACACATTTCTTAGGTGCAGTTTGTTAAAATCCTGTTAAAACATATGGGTCAAGGAGAAGTAAAAAATAATCATAGGATCACTGTAGGAAAAACCTTTAGGTCTGGCACCTGGGAGATCTCTGGAGAGGAGGCAGTGGGAAAAACTTCATATTCTGAAGGGAAGGAGATTCCACCCCACCCCACATCCCCTTTGTCCCTCTTGCCCGCTTAATCCCACCAGAAACTACCAAGACGCCTGGAATAAAAGGTTTCAAGTTCAATAGTCACACTCTCTCCAAATACAAAAAGCAGTTACAATTCAACTCAACACAGAAGCTTGTGTGCAAAGTTATGGGAAACTGAGACATTGTATAAAAAGTTAGGTTAAAGATGATTTTGTGGTTTTGTTTTGAGGGTGTGGTTCTTCATTGGTTGCCTGAACTCAGCAAAGAAATGGTTATCCTGATGAAATATCAACAGCCGACCCACAGTAAAAACAGACAAATTCTAAAAATTAAAAAAAGCATAATTACCAAAAAAATATCTGTCACTGCTTCCTCCCTCCACATTCTGCTTTTTAAACTTTTTTTTTAAGTTTTGGGTTTTTTTTTTTTTTTTTTTTTTTAAATCCTGAAAAGTAGACAGTAAAACAGCTCCTGGAAGAATTTACAACCAACTGCATGAGGGTCTGGGAAGCTGAGGGGCTGGAGCAGGGCTGGGAAGAGAGGACAGAAAGGGGTCCAGGGGTCCTTCCCTCAGCCACTGTGGCCTCACTGCATGACCAAGGGAGGAGGGTGTCTTTAGTCAAAAAGGAGGAAGGGAGGAAGAGAGAGGAGGAGAAGGTAGGGAGAGAAAGAGAAAATAAAAGGTCATTGTTGCCTGTTTGAATCCAGAGAAAAATGCCCAGCCCTGTGCAGGAAGAAGCCCCTCAGAGGGGAGGCAGTGGGCTAGAGGGAGGCAGCCCTGGGATGACCTGTCCCCCAGCACCACAGGACCCGGTGGGGGCAGACATGGGGCCAAAGTGGGCGCTGGTGGAGGAAGCCGGCAGGGGCCTCCGGGGCACACTGGCTACTGAGTGCTTGTGCCCCCCTGTGTGTTCCCGGTGTAGCTCCCGTAGTCGTAGTTCCCGTAGTATGGTGGCCACTGGCCCTGGTTCTGATAGTACTGGTTCCACTGCTGAGCATACTGGGGAGAAACCAAAAGTACCGAGTTGTACCTCGCCCAGACCTACATTTGGCTCCTCCCCTCACCCCACTCTCACCCAGGGTAGAGATGGGTGCAGTAACAATAGCTGACAGATGGGTCCCCTCACAGAGAAATCAAGGCACCTAGGGAGGACAAGGGACTGACCTGATGCCTTGTGGGTGGGCAACGAGGAACTGAAGCCCAGTTCCTTTTCAAGTATAGGTAAATACCACATTCAAAACACTTAATCATCCCTGGCCAGTGTGACTCAGCTGGTTGAGCATCATCCCACGCACCAAAAGGTTGCCAGTTTGATTCCTGGTCAGGGCACATGCTCAGGTTTGGGGCTCAATCTCCCATGGGGGGCATGTAAGGAGGGCAGCCATCAATGTTTCTCTCTCATGGATGTTTTTCTCTCTCTCCCCCGCCTTCCTTTCTCTCTCTGTAAAATCGTTAAGAATGTATCTTTAAAAAAAAAGAAAAACTTAATCACAGTTATGGTGGCCTAGCACCAACCCACAGGAATGGACACTGGCCATGGTGCTGAGGCAGTATCTGAAGGCCACTGCTATACCTTTCCTAGCTGCACTAGGGAGAGGGCCTAGGATGCCAGCTGTTCAGCAGCCAGTGCAGAAGTGTTCACCAAATGGATCAGCTACATCAGGGGAGCATCTGGCAGGCTGCTCATCTTGGTATAAGCAAGGACTCAAGTCTGGGAATATATATCCACAAGGGGCCCCTGAAAGTCTCTCCATTCCATGGTCCCCAGCATCCCCGACCCTTGTCCCTATTTGGCACTTACCTGCTGATACTGGTTATAGCTGGGCTGAGGGTAGGTCTGTGCAGTGGGGGGTGGCGGTGGGGTGTAGGGGGCCGGGGTGTAGCCTCCGTAGCTCCCATAGTTGTAGGCAGGTGGTGGTGGAGGTGGAGGTGGTGGGGCTGTATAGCCCTGGCTGTAACCTCCCTGGTTGTAGGGTGGCTGGCTGTAACTCGGCTGGAAAGTGGGGGAAAACCAGGGCTCTGTGAAATAGCCAGCTCAGCTGGGGTGAAGCAAGGGCCTCTGTAAGCAATGGGCCCACAAAGGAACTTCCCTGGTGGAGGCTGAGGACTGAGGGGGAGGTGGGTTAGCGACATGCCGAACAGGCAGGGTAGGATACTGGGCCATGTTCTGGACTCTGAGACCCTGGGGAGCAAAGCACAAGGAATCTCTTAAAATTCCAGGTTTGTTTTTTTCCCTTCTGTAAAGTGAAAATTACAACAGAAATACCCTTCGACTGCCTTGTGTATTCAATGAGCTTGTGTGCATGAACCACTGGGTCTTCAGTAAATCGTGGTAGTCATTATGGGAAAAGCTGTGGGGAAAAACAGTACTAGAAATTTCCTAAGTGCTTCCCATGTCTAGGCTGTATCATTAACTCATCCAATTCCCCCCACCATCTCTGAGAGGTATGTCCTATTAGCCTCAGTTTACTGAGAAGGAAGCCGAGACTCAGGCAGGCAAAATCATTGATTGAGCCTAAGTCACACAGATAAAAAGTGGCAGAGAGCCAGGACTT